TATTATGACAGACTAAATGATTGCATGAATAATCTTGAAATATGTGGCGTATTTTGCACTCAAACTACATCAAATAGGTTCTTGTGTCAGAGCCAGCCATGTGGGTGGGTAATTTATAGTTGATGGATGGTTGATGGATGATTGATGGATCACATGATAAGATGGATGAATAAAGAGCATATTGTTTGCATCTTTCTGAGAGGTGCTAGATCAATACAAAGACATTTCTGTGTAGGCAGTATTGAAGTTCAGTTCATCTTGATATCAGCAAAGTAGATCAACACTGGGTAAATATCCCACTGCAGTGGACCATTATAAGACCAATATGAGCTGTCATTAAGTTGTAACCCCAGTCGCAGGAAGCCGAAAAATTATACAGAGGCATGGCATCAGGTATCCATTAGTCATCTGTCATCTTGAAAATGTTTTTGGAATTGAATCCCATGGTATAACACGTGCATATAGTAAAATCTGACAAAACTCCAGACTGTGGGATCTTTGCCAATACTGACCACAGTCCTGGACTTGGTACAGTAATTTGTCAGGTAAAGTGTGTCTAAAACAGACTTTCTCTGCTCCAGATTTCGGTCTAACTTGATAAAGGACTACTTTATCATGGAAATTGTGTCTCTAATCTACTGGTCAGTTACATCTGTTCTGGTCATTGTTTCAATGTCAAAAAGGGCTCACGTAAAGTTTATGAGCAGGGCTCATTTGGCTTCAGACACAGCATCACTATATGACTAATATACACATGTCACTATTACATCACACCTGGGCAGTGTACATATATGAGTATTCACTGGCGATTGAGGATAATAGTGTATACAAGCCATGGACCACATTCTTTACTCAACTTAATATTTCCTTCCAGCTAACATGGTTAACATGGATGTAACTATTTGCACAGCTGGTACTTCGAGACAGATCAGTCCAGTTGATTGGCCAGATTTAGACTAAGGCTCAGTCTCTGAATATATATAATTTTGATAGTAACAAACAAGCCAATTTATAAAGGGAGACCAGAGATTCAGAACCTGAGGAAATCTAGACTTGCTTTATTTAGGGTTTTAGCACTGCAGAGAGGCTTGGCAGTAGGGAAAATAATGTGGTTCAGGGACTGTGAGACAGACTAGACCAGATTGTGCATGGTTACTTGGCCAAGTTGAACTTGGTGACACAGCAAACATGGCCGATATTGATGGATGCAGGGTGCCATCTTGCTATCAAGTATCTTCACCTGGAATGACTAACTTAAGCAGCCACCCATACGGACATGGTGTCAATTTTAGTGTCAACTTTTGGACACTGTGAAGAGGGGGTCATCAGAAATCAAGAACAGGGAAAAAGACCCTCGAGGATGATCCAAGATCAGGAAGACCACACACACAATACACTAGACATAGATATTTCCATAGGATTGTTTCTTGTGGACTACCTCCCAAAAGAACAGATCATTAATGGCCAGAAATATGCTGATGCTGAAGCATGTGCATTAAAAGGTCAAGGAGAAGTGTCACTGAAAACTTACTGAAAGTGTGTTTCTCCACTAATGTGTGGACTTTGATCTCCTTCAACATCCTCCAGATTCACCACATTTGGATCAATTAGCTTTCCACCTGTTCCCAAACTTGCAGAATGACCTGTATCAAGCATTTGCAAACGATGATGACATTGTGTCTTCTGTGGAGGACTTATTAATTGGTTGGTTGGTTTGACGCCACGCTCAGCAATATTCCATCTTTTTGACTGCGGTCTGTAAGTAATCAAGTCTGGACCAGACAATCCAGTGATCAACAGCATGTGCCTTGTTCCTCGCAATTGGGATGTCAGCCAAGTCAGCAAGCCTGACCACCCGATCCCGATAGTCGCCTCTTATGACAAGCATGGGTTACTGAAGACCAATTCCAATACAAATCTTCACGGGTTGTGTAGGACTTATTACATGGTAGCATGTATGAACATTTACAAACCTCAATCAAGGGATCCAGGGCAGGGCTGACGCTCTCACAACAAACCAGGCTGTTCTTAATGAACTTACATGATAAAAACATAAACTGGATTTTTGGTTGGACTTTCAGATCCATCTTGTGGTGTAAGGTGGCCTCACTGGTTCTGAAACTTAGCAAATATCTTGAAATATGTTTGAGACCAGTTTTAGTTTTCTGTATATTGTTACCTTTAAAACATCGAAGAAAGCACCCATGACAGTACTTCTTGTCAGCCTTTCAGTCAGTGCCAAATATTTTTAGATTAATTCTATCATCAAACAATTCTTAAAAGCCCTGCTGTGAACAGAACAAAATTACGAACTTGCAATACTGATTTTTTCTTTTTAAGTTTTTGACATGTTAAATGTTGTGGATCCTTTACATGCTTAGATGATATCTGAATGTGTTACTATATATACGGGACGGTGGGGTAGCCTAATGGTTCAAGCGTTGGCTCGTCACGCCGAAGACCCGGGTTCGAATCCCCACATGGGTACAATGTGTGAAGCCCATTTCTGGTGTCCCCCGCCGTAAAACCAAACTCAGTCAGTCAGTACTATATATACAGCTTTAGTATTATCAGTAAAAGCTTCCCTCCTATTAGACTGACAACTGACAAGTACTGGCTTACCTCCATGTCTGTGTATCCAGTTTATCGGTTGGTCATGTGCACTTGCTGTGGCCACATGTTTGGCCTAATTAGCTGGATAAGATAGGATACATTGTGTTAGATGTTTGCACCCACTGTGAACCAGGTACTGAAACAAATCAACACAATACAATGTGCCTGTTAAAGATATATGTTAATGAGACACAATTTTGATAAATATTCAAATTTCACCGTAAAAGTGAGTGAGTTTGGTTTTATGCCGCTTGTGGCAATATTCCAGCAATATCACGACAGGGGATACCAGAAATGGGCTTCACACATTGTACCAATGTGGGGAATTGAACCCGGTCTTTGGCCTGATGAGCAAACGCTTTAACCACTCAACTAACCCATCGCCCCTTCACCGTAAAAAAACCTCTGGTGGAATGAACTAGGGTGGGTAGACTAATGCTTAGTCTCTGAATATATATAATTTTGATTGTAACAAATAAACCCATTTAAATTGAAAAGGAGCTCCAGTGAGATGGGAATTTAGCATTGCAAGGAGGGCAAGGCAGTAGGGAAAGTAATGTCGTTCATGGACTTTGAAACTGACAAGTGGATGGGGTGTCTTGACACTTTCCAACATTCTGAGTATTTAACGGACTATAAGGGCTGAACTACAAGGGGGTAGACAGACAGACAGACAGGTTTGATAAAGTCTCACTTGTAGTACATATAAGACAAATAAAACTTCATACACATATACAGTGTAAATAAAATATGCTACAACCTGTTGCTCAGCGACTTATGAGAGACATATTAAACATACAAGTATACTACTCAAACACAAGCATAAAAATAATATAAAATATTCATAAGATATATGTTTACAGAATACAGCGATATGAAAGGGTCATGTAAATTAGCCATATAAAATTCCACGTAGTAGTGACACACCATGATGGCACCTCGGGGGTCAAGGGGAGAAGACGTATCACCTGGCAGAAAGACTTAAGAACAGTTACTGACACACTTTCAGATTTAGATCACATCTCACTGACGAGGTTAGTGGCTCATGGCTAGGCTGATGTCAAAGTATATTTTGAATAAAGTGGGTACATGTTTCGTGAGTGTCAGATTACAGAGAAGCAGCTGATATTGGTTAAATTTTCGAATGTTTCGATTTTGTAAGCTGACAGATTTTCTACCTTTTGATGATATATTCTGAAGTTGTCTTCAAGATATTTTTGCAAGTTTGGAGGTAAAAAAGCATTTGCATTACCAGTAGTGCTGGGTCAGAGGGAAAATAATTGGTTCATGGACTGTAAGACAGGCTATACATACTTTTATATTCTTATGCAAATACGTGACCTCATCATACTGTAGTATGGTGGGGTCCTCATACAGGAATCATCATGTGGGCAATCATTACAGATCTTTTGTTTCACTGTCCTGTTGAAAGTCAGTGAAACATCAGTCTGTGCTACAGGGATTTACCTTGAGTCCTATATTTGAGGATCCCTGGGACTCATATTCTTAATTTTTAGGGGTCTTGGACTACAAAATGGGGGTCCCAGACACTTAAATATTATTGTTAATACTATGTTGTAATATTGTTGTAATCCAGCTTCTGTTATCGTATTGTGTATCATGATCATCACATTGTTGCAGTAATTAAATTGCAAATGATACCATAACCCAGCAAGTTCCAGACTCAGTGATAATTTACTGTTACTTGATCGAAAGTTTTACAAAAAATACTTGAACTTTTTCTGCGTTTCTGTGGACGCACTAATAAATTTCGTTGCGTCTATCGTCAATTTTTATGAGTATAAGACACAGGAATTTGTGTCCTCTAAATCCCATGAGTCAGTCAGTGAGTTTAACACCACTTAAAACATCATTCCAGTTACGTCACAGCATGTAATGTGCTTAATGTTCTTAACGCAGGTCTCGGATGAAACCCACAAGCATGGATATGGTGCTGACAAAGCACAAGAAATATAAACAGTGGGATTTGAACTCATGACCACTGCCTGCTGCCCATGAACTGAGGCACCTTAGACCACTAAGCCATCTGTGCCTCTAGTTAGGTATGAAGGGATCGTAGTTAGGTATATCAGTGAAGTTTTGAAGATTCTTGCTGTTAGAGATCATTTGATGTTAGATAGGTTTTCGGTTGTGTTTCTTGGCTGTTTGCATGTCTTCATGCCAACATCTTGTGGATCAGTGCATGTGTTTTCCATCGCTGGTGTGCCTAGTTCAAACTTGACTATACACAACGTGACTTGATATGGCTTAACTGTTGATAACTGGGATGTTCTTTCATTCTGTATGATTTGATGTCTTCATTATTTTGCAGAAATACAGCTTCTTATTGTTGGTTTAAGTGTATATGAGGTGCGTTACATTTGCAGGAACAGCGATAAGAGAAAGGAGAAGTCCAGAGATGCGGCAAGATGTCGCCGCAGCAAAGAGACGGAGGTGTTTTACGAGTTGGCCCAAAATCTGCCGTTGCCAAGCAGCGTGAGCACCCAACTGGACAAGGCCTCCATCATGAGGCTTACCATCAGCTTCCTGAAGATCTGCAAGATCAGAGAGGAGAAACAGTGGCATGGTAAGCAGGAAACTACATATAATCAAATTACCTACACGTTCAGATACTGGGAAATTCATTTATATGAAGTGTAAGAAAACGCAAGTGTTCTGATAAGCAAGGTTCAACTGTGTGTGGTTTAGTGAAATTAAGTTGATCCAATAAAGGAATGGTCAAGAACCCCCATACAAGTCTCGAGGTTTCAGCAAGGTACTTCAAAGGGTATGAGTATTAGTTTCTAGATAATGAAAATACAGTTAAATTGGGATGAGTGTGGGATAGTAGATCTGAGACAAGATGAGTATTGACTGTGTGACCTGAAAAGGGGATGAGAGTTGACTGTGTGACCTGTGAAGGGGATGAGAGTTGACTGTGTGACCTGAGAAGGGGATGAGAGTTGACTGTGTGACCTGAGAAGGGGATGAGAGTTGACTGTGTGACCTGAGAAGGGGATGAGAGTTGACTGTGTGACCTGAGAAGGGGATGAATATTGGCTGCTTGACCTGAGAAGGGGATGAATATTGACTGTGGGACCTGAGAAGAGGCTGAGTGTTGACTGCTTCACCTGGAAGAGGATTAGTATTGGGGTTGAGGACAAGAGGAGGATGCTAGGTCTGAGCCAGGGCTCATAGTGATGATTAACAGGAAGTTATGCTCTTGGGTCTGTAAGTGAGACATGAGAAGGTCAGGAACAGACTAGATCATTTGCAGGTCACATTGATATAGAACGATACAGAAACAAGCAAGATTTTTGGTCCCCAATTCAACTTTTCCAACCAGATTGAACCTTGGTTGTTCCATCTTGTTTGAGCTTCCTACAAGAGGAACCTTCAATCACTGGCAACAGACGCCATCTCAACCACTTGTGGAGTTGAGCCTGGTGAGCCAGCCATAATGAAGAGTCTGAGTGCTAGCTTATTCCACATTCTGCACAGAGAGAGAGAGGCCCTCCAAACACAGGAAACAGCCTCTATCCACAAGTGAAGCCACTAGTAAAGCACTGCCCATTGAGCTTATCACAACCAGGTTGAATCTCCAGAGCTCCAAACCGTTCCAGTTTTCTGCCTCTGAGAGCCATGTGGGTGTATCACGGAACAGTCCTATACATCAGTAACTGATGAAGCTCTGTGCTTGCCAGCTCTCTTCCAGTATCTGTAATGCTGATGGGCGCAGATAAGGATGTCATGTTACGTGAAGGCCTCCTATCATTTTGCTCGACTCCTGTAAGATATGCTGACGTTGAGAGGCTGTAAATAAGGACTGTTCCTTGTTAAGGGAGGTTTATGGAGATGGGTTATATTGTGCAAGTCATCCTTGTAATGGCTGCAGCAATATGGCAAACCATCTGAACACAAGCCAAATACCTCTGATGGCTCATAGGACTTGATGATGATGATGATGATGATGATGATGATGTAATGATTAATGTTTAGTTTGGGCTCTTAGAACAAATAATACGATTCGTTACTTTTAATGCTGCATTACAAATGGGAACAATTAATAAGAATCACTTTCTTAATGCTGTATTGAGCAAATATTCTTCTACCTTCTGTAAATAATGGCATCTGGACCAAACAATCCAGTGATTAACATCATGAGCAGCAATTGGGATACAATGACCTACATCGACCAAGCCAGCAAGTCTGGCCACCTGATCCTATTAGTTACCTATTAGGACAAGCATGGCTTGCTGAAGACACATTCTTACCCAGATCTTCACAGCTCACAAAATAACAAAAATATTAGACTGTAGTTTGAATGTGTGTTGACTTGATCCTATTGACGGAATGAATAACAGAAGCTTGAGTAAAAGGAACATATTCTTGTAATGTATAGAATAGCTACAGGATGAGGCTTTCCGTCGGCAAGTAACCACTAGAACTTGTCCATGCTTAGTTTGCAGTGATGATATGGACTGAAGTAGGCATGTCAGGTAACCTTCCCCGACTCTGGAGTGTAAATCACAGCACGTTGCTGATTAGATCCACAAGTTCTGGTGATGTGTTGGTGAAAGTGGAATGTCCTCGCTTGGGCTGAATCTCTAATTTAAAGATTATCGGGGATCAGAATACAGCTCTCTGCCTTAACTCATGCTTTACGGCATGTAGTTTCAGGGGAATGTTCATGCCATCAATAGTTCGGCATGCGCATTAAATAACTCAGTGAGCCTTCACATGCATGCCAACAGGCTGGAGGTGCATAGATATAAGTTTTCACAGTACAAGTTTTTGTTGTTTATCCGATAAGTATCTTCCAAATGAGTTTATTGAACTTATACTTACAATGTCTATGGCGGAAAAGTTTAAATAAATCAGGCTACAGTCTCTTGGTTATTTTTCCCAATTAAACAATTGTATAACCAGATATGTTGTATCAAAGGGACATAACTCATCAGTCTACATTACTTCAAACTTTGCCGCAAATACTTTGCTCTGTATGTTATATTTCACAATTAAGTCCTATTTTCAACACAAAACTAATTTAAGTGATATTTCATATTTCTTATTCATTTATTTTATTATTCCATTATAGTTGGTAGTATGAAATATATCAGAGAAGACACTTTCATTTTAGTTTCATTTTCCTATTTTACATTATACATCTGTAGACCCACAAAAACAAAATTAATCACATAATAAATTGATAGTGTTCATGTTCTCTTAGCTTCTTTCAAAATACAAATTTAAAATAACGTCCAGTCTAAGTAAACTTAGGCTCAGTATTATTGGTTACAAAACCTAGTAGAAGGTCTAAGTTTACTTAGACTGAAATAACGCCAAATTCTGTTTTAATGGCCACCTCTGTGGTGTAGTGAGAGTGTCCGCCCGGAGAGCGGAAGGTCGCAGGTTCAATCCCCGGTCGTGTCATACCAGAAAAATTAAAATATGGTACTTGTTGGTCCCCGCCTGACGCTCGGCATAATGGGTGCAACAAGGACTGGTCGGCTCGGGAGTCCGTATAATGTGTCTGAGTGGGGTATTCATGCTTAACTGCGACATGGTATCTCAGTGGGCTGGCACTATAAAACCAGCTTCAGTCTGGGCTAGTACAAGCAGCCGCACATACACATGCATGCACATTGTCATGAGTGAAATATTCTTAAGTACAATGTTAAACCCCACCTCACCTCACCTCACCTCACCTCATCTCACCTCTGTATTAATATGTCATTTTGTTACTAATACTTGGGGGCGGTGGGGTAACCTAGTGGTTGAAGCATCCGCTCATCATGCTGAAGACCCGGGTTCGAATCCCCACATGGGTACAATGTGTGAAGCCCATTTCTGGTGTCTCCTGCCATGATATTGCTGGAATATTGCTAAAATCGGCGTAAAACCATACTCACTCACTCGCTATTAATATTTAACAACCCTCATCAAATCTAAAGCAACTTTTCCAAATGATGAGATTAACACAACCCTGTTTACAGTCTACTTTTCCTTGAAATACAAGCAGCAGGAAGTGGGTAAGTGTTGTGTTTCCTTCCTGCGAACCACTGGAGCCACTCGATATTAAGATCTATATATGGCAGTGTAATCGCCCAGACCCAAGCATTAGACCTAGTAACCCCTCCAGTTTTAAATAGTGAAAAATTTAACTGTGGAGTGAAAACATAGCAAATGAGTTTGGTTTAATGTCAGAGTGGAGTAGTCCATGTCTGGACATGTGAGTTGTCTCAGGCAATTACACTTGGTGGATGCACCAAACATGCTGCTAACCAACCTAGGGTTTTTAGCAACAAACCCAAGACTGGCTAATGCTAGAAACTAAGGCATGCAGCTCTGCAACTATGACTTAGCCTGTTGGGCCACCTGTGATTCTTCCATTTCCGACCGCCTCCGTGGTGTAGTGGTTAGCGCGTCCGCCCGGAGAGCAGAAGGTTGCGGGTTCGATCCCCGACCACGTCATACCAAAAGAAGTTAAAATATGGTACTTGTTGGTCCCTGCCTGGCGCTCGGCATTAATTGGTACAACAAGGACTGGTCGGCTCGGAGTCAGTATACTGTGTCTGAGTGGGGTGTTCATGCTTCACTGCGGCATGGTATCTCAGTGGGCTAGCACTATAAAACCAGCTTCAGTCTGGGCTAGTATAAGCAGCTGCACATACACATACACACGCATGCACATCGTCAAGCACGACATAAAACCCAATTTCACCTCACTTCACCTCTTCCATTTCCTGTATAGACAGAAGTCAGATTGTCATGTTATTTTCTTCAAATATCTCAAGTCTTTACAGTCTCATTGATAGACTCTCTGTCCAAGAAATGAAGGTTGGTGGAATAATCTTGAAAGTGATGTTAAATATTTTGCTTATGTCAATCAAAATGACATCATTTATTGTCTAGTGACACTAAAAATCATTTCCATTATTACAAGAAACATGCAGGGTCCAAGACCCCTGTGACATAAGCATGTGTATATACATCACTATCAAACAGTAAAGAGTCCAGGTATTCATGGAAAGGTGATGTTGTCCCACCTGGGCACCACACACATCCTGTGAAACCAAACTTAATTTTCCACTGTATGTGATATTTAAAATAATTTGGTAATTACCAATACATAGTAACAGGCAGTTTTGGAGCTAGGTCGTTAGGTGGTCACTTGAAAGAGATGCGTCCGTAAGTAGTGCCATGAAATGCTGATCAGATGTCTGTTTCCAATGTCACCATAGATTTAACTTTTGGTTTGTCATCACAACCCACTTATTGTTTAGGGTTTGGAAAACGTTTAGATTTCATCTCTTATCAAATGCCAAAATTGAATAAAGATGAACATCTAACCGTGCTACATGGCTGTATTGAATGATGAGTCCATGGATGTACAGTAGTACTGTCTTTGTAGAGGCAAGTCTAGATAAGCAAACATTACAAGACTAGACTAAATCCATGGATGTACAGTAATTCTATTCCTATGGTAGGCAAGTGTAGATAAATGAACAAAGAAAATAGTCTTTTTTACGAGTATTGAGTGAGTTAGTATGGTTTTATGCCATTTTTAGCAATATTCTAGCAATATCACAGCAGACACTAGGCTTTTTTTATGGACAACTTGTCCTGATATATATAATCTAGAAATTATGATTTATACCAAGGATGATTGCCTCAGGGACAGATGCAAGTATGCTAAACACCTCAATCACACACTTGCTCCTGAAATTCCATCTATCTAAGGGAGATAACTATGTACAGCTTTGGCACCATCCCTTCTCTGAATGACTTCCATCCACTTCCTCTTTGAAGATACCTGAGGTCACAATGACACTAGACGCACAACCACAGACACCCACACACACAAGGTGTATCATAAATACTGATTAATATTTGTATGGTGAAGGATACCTGCTGATTTATGCTCTCGGCCCCTATCATAGATATTAAACATCCTCTGTCTACTGATATAACGCCAATGTTATTTAACCAGTTTTTATATGATAGAATCCAATATTTTATGATGTTTGCATTTGTTTTTGACAACTGTCACTCATCTGATACACCCTTTCCTTCCTCTGAAATGATAAAGTGGCCTTGTACTTGGTGATCACTCCTGTGTGTACATGATTTTGTCACCATGCACTGGATGGCCCCAGTAGGGAGGGGCGGAAAAACAGTGTTGGTTAAGCCACTGTCAGCCTATTCCGCTTTTGTTGAAGTGGACCCTTCATAACTCTTGGCAGGTCATGTGTACTGGAGACCTACTGTACCCTGGATCTCCTGCTGGGTACTGTGGACCTACTGCACCCTGGATCTCCTTCTGGGTACTGGAGACCTACTGTACCCTGGATCTCCTACTGGGTACTGGAGACCTACTGTGCCCTGGATCTCCTACTGGGTACTGGAGACCTACTGTACCCTGGATCTCCTACTGGGTACTGGAGACCTACTGTGCCCTGGATCTCCTGCTGGGTACTGTGGACATACTGTGCCCTGGATCTCCTACTGGGTACTGTGGACATACTGTGCCCTGGATCTCCTACTGGGTACTGTGGACATACTGTGCCCTGGATCTCCTGCTGGGTACTGTGGACATACTGTACCCTGGATCTCCTACTGGGTACTGTGGACATACTGTACCCTGGATCTCCTACTGGGTACTGTGGACCTACTGTGCCCTGGATCTCCTACTGGGTACTGTGGACCAACTGTACCCTAGATCTCCTACTGGGTACTGTGGACCTACTGTGTTCTGGATCTCCTACTGGGTACTGTGGACCTACTGTACCCTGGATCTCCTACTGGGTACTGGAGACCAACTGTACCCTAGATCTCCTTCTGGGTACTGTGGACCTACTGAACCCTGGATCTCCTACTGGGTACTATGGACCTACTGAACCCTGGATCTCCTGGGTACTGTGGACCTACTGTACCCTGGATCTCCTTCTGGGTACTGGAGACCAACTGTACCCTAGGTCTCCTACTGGGTACTGTGGACCTACTGAACCCTGGATCTCCTACTGGGTACTATGGACCTACTGCACCCTGGATCTCCTACTGGGTACTGTGGACCTACTGTGCCCTGGATCTCCTACTGGGTACTGTGGACCCACTGTACCCTGGATCTCCTTCTGGGTACTGGAGACCAACTGTACCCTAGATCTCCTACTGGGTACTGTGGACCTACTGAACCCTGGATCTCCTACTGGGTACTATGGACCTACTGCACCCTGGATCTCCTACTGGGTACTGTGGACCTACTGAACCCTGGATCTCCTACTGGGTATTGGAGACCTACTGCACCCTGGATCTTCTACTGGGTACTGGAGACCTACTGTACCCTGGATCTCCTACTGGGTATTGGAGACCTACTGCACCCTGGATCTCCTACTGGGTACTGGAGACCTACTGCACCCTGGATCTCCTACTTGGTACTGTGGACCTAATGTACCCTGGATCTCCTACTGGGTACTGTGGACCTAATGTACCCTTTATCTCTTGGGTACTGTGGACCTAATGTACCCTTTATCTCTTGGGTACTGTGGACCTAATGTACCCTTTATCTCTTGGGTACTGTGGACCTAATGTACCCTGGATCTCCTGGGTACTGGAGACCTACTGTACCCTGGATCTAATACTGGGTACTGTGGACCTACTGTATCCTTCATCTCCTGCTGAGCACTGTGGACATACAATACCGATGAGCTCCTGCTGAGCACTGAAAGCCTATTCTTCTCTTTAACTCAAGGCTTGATAGTGTGGTCCTGTTCTACCCTGAAGCTCTACCAGTTGATTCATGACAAAAGATCATAGAAAAATAGCATTTTAGTGCACTGCATTCCATCAGTGTTACTATGTCCATGAGTGAGTGAGTAGGTTGGGATTAGTTCTGGGCCCCGTTCCTCAAAGCAATTGTTACACTACAATAGTTGTAAATCACTACAAACCAATTGTAACTTTAACTTACAATCACTCCACCGTTCCTCAAAGCAATTGTAAGTTACAATTTCTTCCGTAAGTTGCTTATGACCGTCTGTAAGTTACTTACGATTGATTGTTGTGAAATTTGCCCTGAGAGGATATTTCAAGACCGTAGTCGTGTTCTGGATGTTTACAATGACACTGAAATATTTTCAAGGTACAGAATGACAAGGGCTTCCATTCTGAAACTGGTGAGCATGCTTCAACCTGGGTTGTCCTCGGACACCCAGCGTTTACATGCATTATCCGTAAGAAAGCAAGGTTTTAATTACTTTGAGATTTCTTGCTAAGGATGATTTTGGAAAGGGGAAGCAACTCTCGCCAACAGGAAGTAATTTAAACACATTATTTCTAACTTTCGCGCAGAAGATCAGGGTCCCGTTCCTCAAAGCGATCGTAGCGCTACGACAGTCGTAAGTCTATGTTAAAGTATTGGAGTTACGATCATCTTAGCGCTACGATCGTTTTCAGGAACGGGGCCCTGGGCCCCATTCCTCAAAGTGATGGTAGCGCTACGACAGTGAAAGACATTGAAAGACTTACAATCACGAGACTTACAATTCCCTTACAATAGCTTTGAGGAACAACAATAAAGTGTTATTTACGATAATTGTAAAGTTGATTGTAGGGCTTACAACTGATTGTAGCTACGATCGCTTTGAGGAACAGGGCCCTGCTCTGAACAGTATTTCAGTCATATCACAGCATGTCAGCCTCGTGTGGAAGGACAGCATTCAAGACTGCAGGTCTTAGATGTTTATTTTTGGTGAACTTGGAAAATAATGGCTTCCTCATACTTCTTGTGTAGAAATGTTGATGTTGTCTCTGCAGTGTCATCTTACCAGAGGAACCAAATCAGCTTTTAACGTGACCTTTGTTGTCATCTCACTGATGGCCATAAGCCTTTTGTTGCTTCTTTCTGTCTAGATCCGCTTCTATCTTGTACTGTAATGTATCACGATACAAGGGTTGTAAATGGATGTATTTGGTGTCATTGTGTAGGGATGTTGTTTTGTTACAACATCTGATGTGAAACTGCGTCATTGCTCACTGTTGCATGTAGCACAGCTGCACATGAAGCCCATTTAATAACATGGCAAAAGAGACAATGTTTGGTGGGGATTAAAGGTCAGATGGAGAATGTTCCAGCGCTGCCAGTGCTGTTGTCAGCCACTGACATGTACAATTGCCTGACCTGTCAAGATGCCAACTGCATAAGTATCCCTCGTGTCCATGAATGAATGAGATATCTGACAGGTGCTTTGTTGGATACAGCTGGTACAGCCTGTAACAAACAGGGGCTACCTAAACAGTGGTGGCTAGTGAATCATTCAGATAATATGAATTACTGGACTTCTGTGTACTGCTACTTTGATCAGTATTTCAGTTATGTCACTGCATGTCAGTTAGGAAGCCAGGCCACTAGCCAGGCAGGTTGTAGTTTACCTCTGTATGGGAGCTGACAGGTCAGGATGTGTGAACCTGGATTCAAACTTGCAGATCGCTAAGGGACACAACTCCTGAAGTTGCAGTATCTTAGCAAAACAACACAATGACAGGGCTGGTTTTTGTGGCAAAAAAGATATTCTTGCTGAAAAAATATTGTGACTTTGCAAAGAAATTGCTAAGTTGTCCTAGTAAATTGTCGATTGATTTTCTATACATTTTTTTCATTTTATGACATTGTAAATACTTGTGGGTAATTCCACAAATTATGGACACAGTGTTTAATGTGTATACCTCCATAAATGCAAAAACATGTTAAAGTCAATTCTTACATATATGTATGTCAGCAATATTCAGGCAGCCTTAGGAGTGATGGATGTGAAACAAGGCAGAATGATTCAGTGTCATATAGGCAGCCTTAGGAGTGATGGATGTGAAGCGAGGCAGAATGATTCAGTGTCATATAGGCAGCCTTAGGAGAGATGGATGTGAAGCAAGACAATGATTCAGTGTCATATAGGCAGCCTTAGGAGAGTTGGATGTGAAGTGAGGCAGAATGATTCAGTGTCATATAGGCAGCCTTAGGAGAGATGGATGTGAAGTGAGGCAGAATGATTCAGTGTCATATAGGCAGCCTTAGGAGTGATGGATGTGAAGTGAGGCAGAATGATTCAGTGTCATATAGGCAGCCTTAGGAGTGATGGATGTGAAGCGAGGCAGAATGATTCAGTGTCATATAGGCAGCCTTAGGAGTGATGGATGTGAAGTGAGGCAGAATGATTCAGTGTCATATAGGCAGCCTTAGGAGAGATGGGTGTAAAGCAAGACAGAATGATTCAGTGTCATATAGGCAGCCTTAGGAGTGATGTTCAGAGCATGTACTTCTTTATTTAGATGATGAAGAACAATGTGAAGATGGTGAGATTCAGAAGCGTCTTCATCAGATGTACCCAAAAGCCTTGGAGGGATTTGTCCTCATCCTCTCTCGGGAAGCTGATATTGTATACCTGTCTGAAAACACAGCCAAGTATCTCGGCATCCAACAGGTAAAATACTCACAGAATTTACATTTTCAGGAACAGAACTTGTCATGTTCATGTTGTGATACATGCAGTAAGGTTGTCTGCTTGTCACATGTCAACTTCACTGTCAAGGAAATCGTATCATGAAAAGGTTTCAATCTTTCCTATGAACCTATGAATTTCTTTGATGCTTCCTCTCAAGCAACAGCTTGTAGATGTTATCATTTCACCGTTTCAGATTGAACTGATGGGACAGAGCATTTTCGACTTCACTCACCCATGTGACCATGAAGAGATCCGTGACATGATGTCAGATCGCCCTCACGGCTCCAAGGCAGTGTCCGAGGAGCGCACGCTCTTCATCCGCATGAAGTGCACGCTGACCAGCAAGGGCAAGAGTGTCAACCTTAAATCAGCAACATACAAGGTACGAGTTTGTCAGCAACATACAGGTACGAGTTTATCAGCAACATACAGGGTACTAGCTTAACAGCAACATACAGGGTTATAGCTGATTCTTTTATATCACTAAAGTTAATCTGTCATGATGTGACAAATCATATATAATGATATGAAAGTGAATAGTATTAACCTCACTGACTCACTTCTCTCAGATGCAAAAACTATATCAACTCGCTCTGAACCAGCAAAACACTTTCATTTTCTTTCATCCTTAGGGAACCCCCAAAAGAAACTTTACAGGATTTGAGTAGTTTCATCCAATTCCTGCTTCACTGAAATTCCCAGGGAATATAGTGATGACTTCCTGTTTGAGGCTGTGTTCAGGGCAAGAAGTGCAACAGATGCACATTTGTGGAACTGATGACTAAATCTTTGCAAAAAAACAAATGGATGATCATTTATCCTTGTCCCCAAAAGTAAAGCACCTGCTCTGAATGAGTACAATGTCAACTGATATGCCAAAATAAATTTGAAATCAGGCATGAGCAAAAGGCTAAATTGGAAGAAATATTGATGCAGTGTTCCTTTTTAATACTGGCATTGTCAGACAAACAGCTCTCTGAAAGAAAGAAATGTTTGACTTGAATAGATACCTGTTGTCAGAACCTTCTGAAACAAATAACCCTGGTTCTCATTCACGTATTTGATGTAAACTGTTAACTCGGATGAGCACAGGAAGCTTGTCATCAGTCTGCTCCATCTGACAACTAATTATATAATATCCTGTTGACTACAAGCTATGCCATATATGGAAGGTCACTTTCACCTTCTTGGAACTCACTGTCCACTTCCAACAGAGCCACCATTGTTCTTCAGGAGATGGCGTGATGATACAACTGAACAGTTATCTGGAATATTTCCCTTAAGGTTAAGACAGCCTATTTATGACTTAAATTACGTTCAGTGTTTTTATTACGGTTCTGGGTTTATCGAGATAAACATATTCAATTATGTTAAGTCCTTTCTTTTTGGTATGGCTCGCAAAATCATTTAAAAAGATACGGAACTGAAAGTAGAAAAGACTGAAGTCAGATATGTCAGTGTGTTGAACATTTATGTATATCTCCAGAATGTGTACTCAGGATATTTTGTTTGCTCATTGTTTGTTGTTTAATGCTGCACTCAGCAATATTCCAGCTATATGGCGGCAGTCTGCAAATAATCAAGTCTGGACCAGACAATCCAGTGATCAACAGCATGAGCATTGCTCTACGCAATTCGGATACAATGATATGTGTCAACCAAGTCAGCGTATCTTATCACCCGGTCCCATTAGTTGCCTTTTACGACAAACATAGGTTACTGAAGACCAATTCTAACCTGGCTCTTCATGGTTTTGTACTCAAGATGGTTTAAAGGTGTTTGCAGGATACCTGCAACAAACTAAATGTCCATTTAAATGTTATCCAGAATGACAATGATTTTGTTTACTTTTTCCTGTCAACATATTCTTGACTGTTACAAATGATTTGTGATCAGTCTCTGATCTCTGATCTTTGGTAAATATATAAACACATCCCAGCGGGCACTCAACGTTGAATCAACGTTGAATCAACGTTGAATTTTGGTTGTTTGGTTGATCAACCTTTCATAAACGTTGATTCAACGTTTATCATGCGACCAAAGAAAGTTAGTCGAGATTCGTTTAGTTGTCAACGTTGTTTCAACGTAAGGAACCAACGAAATGTCAACTAATTGTTTCCTTGGCAAATTTGATACATAATTCATATTGGTAATAGGTATCCAACTTAGCAACTATCATTTCGGAACATTATTTTCATAAAAGATCAAGATCGAGCTAGTGACAGATATAATCTTATATATTATTTGATTGTGCATCGATCAACGGATCTGAAATATTACGTGAAATCGCAGTTTTAGGTATAAAGTCATCAGTTATCCAAATTGCATTACATTTGATATTTTCCCACAAAACTGTGAAAATTGTATAATTCCCGACAATTTGCTTTCAAACACAAGCCAGATGTTGACCTTCGATCGCCTTCGCTTGGCCATATCCGGACATCGCGACAATTATCGCTACAAGAAAGGCAGCTGATCGCTTGTCAGTTCACTTTGGCTAAGTTCAACGCAATATCGTTCTATTTTCACCATCTTCACGGCATGCTGGTGTTTATTTGGTAAGTATGTCCTTCATGTATAATGAAAACGTTAGGAATGCCGTTTAAATCTAGCAGTAGCAAGAAACTCGAATTAGGGCTCATGTTTTATCTCACAAGGTTACCGGTATGTCACAGTACATGTTTCTCAAAATTTTGTTTTGTTATTTTTCAATATATTTGCATGCATATATATTTGGCATTTTATTATATAATCGAATAAGATTTCCTTTCGTACCCATCACCTGATTTGAATTTTGCAAACATACATTTTCAAATAATCAATGAAGTACATCAATATAAGGAACCGTTCATAATTAAATATATGGCTGCGGGTGGGGGTGTTGATTGTAAGGGTTGGAGGGTGGGGTGGGGTGTCACCCATTTTGTTCAGGGGAGCTAAGGGGTCAGCATTTTTGTACACACGCACTATGTTTAGAAATTATGGGAAGGGGAGAGGGCGTCATAGATAATGTACATGACATGCAGGGTGGGCCGTCTCTTATTCTGTACATACTCATACACTTTTAGGGGTGTGTGTGTGTGTGTGTCTGTCTGTGTGTGTGTGTGTGTGTGTGTGTGTGTGTGTGTGTGTGTGTGTGTGTGTGTGTGTGTGTGTGTGTGTGTGTGTGTGTGAGAGAGAGAGAGAGATTCACATTGTTCATAAAAATCAACATCACCCCAAAGCCATACATTATGAACGGTCCCTAAGGGCAGCTATACAAAATCGGATAGGATTAATCAACATTTTATATTGCATCCCATTATTATGAACATTTGTTCGTTTGAATAGATCTATCAGTAAATGATGCATTGAGCACGCCCTTAACCCTATCAACATATGTATATTATTGGAGGGAAGGGGGTGGTGGAGAATGGCGTAAGGAAATGCAACGAAAATTTTCACTTTAAAATCTCTTGTGAAAGTCTTTGTTAAGGATGAAATTGTATATAATTTATTTGAACTTTTATTTATTTACAAAAAGTGTAACTTCACTAATGATTCTTTGATGGGACAATTAACAAAACTGCACCCACAGACTTTCATTCTTACACTTGTTTGGAAGGGATATGATAATTCATGTCTCTTAAGGTTAAAATCTTACATACCAAAGAAGTAATTTTAATGTAAGGAACATTTAATTATGAAATAAGATTATTTTAATGGAATTTGCAGAAATCTCATCTTGAAGACTGGGTGGCAGCAATTTTGTGGATCACATAAAAGGAGCAAGGCTAAGGTAACACGTTTTTAACATTTCACTTGTTTCCAGTATATCCACCACAAAGTTTAAGAGAAAGATGATAATGCTCTTTCATTACCACCTGTTTTGAATATTTGTGATAATGTTTGGTCTTTTTGGTGATAATAGTTGGTCTTTATTTTCATTTATATATTAAGGTTGATCATTTAAGGAAAAATTGACAATGATTTCTCCCGAGATGTTTAGTTTAATGAGCACTCCCTTGCTTGGCTTTCATATTGTTTTTCACAAAACAGCTGGATGCAAGATAGCACGAGAGGACAGAAGTCATACATTTATAGATATTAGAGATGTTTATTGCTGGGAAACACACTCTTCAGGTATTTGGTCAGCTGTAGAATTTGAATATGATGTTTTTTATTATTGTCAAAGGGTAGGTTTTTCATTATTTGCAATCTAATATGTGTGCAGTGAAACATACTGAGATTTGGAAGAGCCCTTTATTTAAAGTACAGGTGTTGTTAGATATCAGCATTTTATTCCCTTCTTAAGATCATCTATCGAGTATATTAGAGAGAAGGTGTATATTTGTAGTGTTTTAAATCAGAGTTATTTTCAGTGTATGACCTACATTTCAATATGTTTTGGCCACCTGTCACCCCTTTGGTCAAATAGAGTAGGACTTCCATTTCTTGGAATTGAGAGTCAGAGATGCACTGTTTCCAAGAATTTGCGTTAGCCAGCGATGTTTGTTTACGAGTACATTTAAGTCTTTTTGAGTGTAGATTGGAGTTGTAAGAGATGTTATTCAATGTCTTATTATTCATGGTATAATAGATTATTTCTGGCAATGTAGAGTTTAATCTCATTATTTTATTGTTCATGATTCAGAGAAGCATAGTTATGGCGTCATAGATAATACGCATACATAATTCATTATATGAGAGATTTTCTAAAGCTGCTTCCTATAAGAGATTAAGTGTAAACATTTATGAATTATAAAAGTTATTTATCTGAGTTTTATGAGTGTACAAATGACAAAGAGAGAGAGAGAGTAGATAATAGAGAATATATTGTATACTTATGAGAGCTCATTATTGTTTTCAGAACTCCATGATCCATACTTCCTTGTGTTTGGGAACAAATGGTGTTGGGAGACCTCCCACAATAGACTTGTTCTTTGACCTGTGAACCACCACCCATTTTGTTTTCTTATCATTTAATGTAAAATGGCTTTTGTTACAATTTATGACTCCTGGTAGCAAAATTGCTACATCAGATCAACTCCTATTAATTTGAAATAATCAACATTTCCGAGAATCTCTAAAGAAAACTAAATCTGACAGAATAACAAAAATCTTCCATTATTTTGCAGGACAATGTCAAACAATTTGATGTCAAGAATGAATGTTGATGGGCAAAACGGCAAGTTTTCTTTTAAGAATACAAGGTTGTATTCAATCATCTCTGGTAAGTTAATTACCAAGTGCAGCATTTTCATCATGACCATAGCAAATAATATATGACAGTAAAGCATCGTCTAATTCATCTAGTTCATTCAATAATCTAGTCTAATAGTCTAATTAAATAATCAACTTGCAATTGAGGATTTTCTTTGAAAATGTTTAAGAAAACTTCCATTCCTTCGGTTGAAAATATAAATTGTTTACACTTTTCGTCATATTTTGTATTGATGCTGTTCATATGTTCACATGCCAAGTTACAGCAGTGAAATGAACCTTTCAAGTGATTGATTAAACAGATACTTGAATCATTTAAGACAATATATCTTCCATATAACTTATTCATGTATTTAAATATAAAATTTCAGAATGTGTCCTATGTCAAGGGAATGAGATGGGAATGCATCCGAAGCAAATTTCAAGAAAGAGTTAGGAACGCTTCTGAAGTATCCACCTGACCGCCAGGCAGGAGTGGCAGAAAGAAGAGGAGCTGATAATTGTGTTTTGGAGTTGTAATTGTGTTGAAAAATCTGAACTGTGGTATTGAAATTGGTGGCGTAAATGTCACTTTGATGCTATATGCAGATGATATTGTGTTATTAGCACAACCGAGATCACCTACAGACTATGTCATGTGTGATGTTTTACATTATGCATTAAACCACGCTTTCTGTGTAAGCGTGTGTGTTCATAAAGATTTCATGAAAAGTGACTTGTTTTATGTGCTGTCTTCAGGTATAGTTCCTGGTCATCTTGGATCCCTTTCATGGTGAAAGTAATTGCATTGTGTTTATTCAGGGTCTGTCTAAGAGCTGAAATTCAGACAAAATGTCTTCGGGACAATTTTCACCTTTTCAAGGTAACAATACAACAGTAAATAGTTTTTCTAAATTTGGAATACTCTTTTCTTCTTACTGGAATTATAATGTCCAACTGACATAAAACTTAAATGAACATTATATTGAATGTGGAATTTTAACCAAGTATTTTATCAGGTAAATATTTTTACTGCACTTTTCTGTTTGAACACTGTTTATTGCAGGTAGCTTTTGGGGTATTTTAGCTGGATGCAGGAGTTTGGTGCTACTTTATTGTAGTTTAAAGATGAAATGCGAGTCTATTTACAGGAAAGCGTAATACCTCCCAGACACAACCACGGAACAACCCATTTTCAACGTTAATAATATGTCAGACTTCAACGTTGATTCCATCGCCGGATATCTACGCCAAAAACTTTCATATACAACCTATTTTCAATCTATTTTCAACGTTGAGGATCAACCTATTCTCAACGTTGATAATAGGTCAAACTTCAACGTTGATTCCACGTCGGATATCTACGTCAAAAAAACTTTCATATACAACCTATTTTCAATCTATTTTCAACGTTGAGGATCAACCTTTTTTCAACGTTGATAATCGGTCAAACTTCAACGTTGATTCCACGTCGGATATCTACGTCAAAAAAACTTTCATATACAACCTATTTTCAATCTATTTTCAACGTTGAGGATCAACCTATTCTCAACGTTGAAACAACGTTGATGTGCCTGCTGGGATTAGGTTAATTTCAATCTTCTTCAGTGATATTCCAAGCATGCTGTCAATACCTTTCACAGTGGTTTTATGGACAAACTGTATTGAATTCAAAGTAGTGATCAAATTCTTTATGGCTTTACAGATCGTCAGAACACTTAAAGTTTTCAAGTAAATAACATTAAATCTATTTCTAAGCTAACAAAGAATAAACAGAGTAATAATAACAAGGTCAGAACATCAAGAAATGTTATGAATATTGGTGTTATATATAGAGAGAGGATAAACATACTATACTTTTGATATAGAGGTTGTTACCTGTTGCTTAAACTAAATGCAATCTAAGGTTTAACAGCAGCTTATCTGTAATCATGTGTTTGATGAAAGAGGTAAATGTCTTGGAGACCATACTACATTGTCAGAATTGATGGGTTTTTGGGGTTGTTGTTTTTATTATCAGGCACTTTGGTTGCCATGGAAAAGTCATTTTGTTGCTCTTCCATGCCAGGTGATCAAGTGCACAGGAAGGCTGGTTGTGGCCAAGACGAAGAGCAAGAAGGACTCTGACGATGCCTCCATGTACCCCTACCTGCTGGCCGTTGGGGAGCCCATCCCCCACCCCGCAAACATCGAGGTCCCCCTTGACAGCAGCACTTTTCTCAGCAAACACAACATGAACATGAGCTTCACCTACTGTGACGACAGGTAGGTCAAGGTCGTCTACTCAGGGTGTCATAAGTCACTATTGATGTGTGTCAGATGTGGGTGATGACAGGTAGGTCAAGGTCGTCTACTCAGGGTGTCATAAGTCACTATTGATGTGTGTCTGATGTGGGTGATGACAGGTAGGTCAAGGTCGTCTACTCAGGGTGTCACAAGTCACTATTGATGTGTGTCAGATGTGGGTGATGACAGGTAGGTCAAGGTCGTCTACTCAGGGTGTCATAAGTCACTATTGATGTGTGTCAGATGTGGGTGACGACAGATAGGTCAAGGCTGTTTACAGCAAGTCTAGCTTTGCCACTTCTCAGGAGAGAGGACATAGCATGGCAAGAAAGTCAATAAAAAAGGGGGATGATAGCGAATATCCGATCACACTGGGTCTCCTTACAGTGTAAATAGAAATGTTTCTTTTCATCAAATATAGAAATTATGTTGTATGTTTTACATGTGTTCAGCATATATTCTACTATAGTTTAGACACAGTCATTCTCTCAATCTCCTCAAAAGATGGCCATGAAAATTTCATCTTTTTCTTAAAATTGAAAAGAAACTTGTTTAAACAATATCCCCTGAATTTGCTAAAACTTGATTGTAAATAATTGTTTGTTTTTACCATCATCGGCACTCTTCAGTGGCAATTGCTGACATTGCATTAATCAGTTAACACATGACTATTTGTTATGAAATCTGAACTCTGTTGTTACACTTAGATCAATGTCTTTTCACATGAACTGATATTATTGTGCATTAACACATGACAGCTACACTTTCACTACCATATGGTTAGAGACTTCACTATATATGTATTCATCTCACATTGATTATGAATAGTGAGCTACAGACCCTTAGCAACATATTTTTATATTCTTTGAGGATAATCAGGCAAAGGTTCTTGCAATGTTCTTAGGCATATTACAGATGACAGATATGGAATCCTGAAGTGCTTTCCATAAGACTTGTTTTGATTTGTTTCAGTAGATGATAAGTTTTCAATATTTATCCAAAGAGAGCCTTAAATACAGTTGCTAGGATACAATAGGAGTAACTATAACGGAGATAACTTTGTCCTTGATTTAGAAATATATAGAAGTTTAAACTTTAAACAATTATGAAAATGATGTTGATTCTTGTGATTTGTGATCATTAATATAATAATGATGGTAATATACACTTTTATTTAATAGCTTTATTAATGATGTTAAACATAATAACTGATTCATCCAACTAAACTTCAAGCTAGGAAACAGGACTATAAAAGCGTGATCATTGGGTAAACATAGACAATGTCCCACAGGCTTTTCTATTCATGGCACAGGCCTTAAACCCATTTTAGAAAGCAACTATGTCATCCCAGATAACATCCATGGACAGTGTGTTTATTGTATTAAAACTCACAAACATGTTTACGTCTCAGCACAGTCAAATCAGGTGACATAATCGCATGCCTTCATTTCCTGCATGGCCAGACGACTGCGTCACACAGTGTGAGATATGTATGTGCGTAGAGCTCTCAAGACAGACACACTGTCAAGTAGTCAAATTCATTCTTACTGATGCAGATGCATTCTAACTGACAATGTCTTGTCATGTTACGTAGTCGTGGCAGCTGTTGGAACAATGGTCATTAGAACACCTAGAAATAAAAAAGAAATGTTAATCATTTTACAGAAAAATATGTCAATATATGACCACGTAAATATTCTTCTCGTCAGTGAGATATTTGTTTCTTGGTAAGCACTGCACTCGGAGATAGTTTGGTTATTGATGGTGTTCTGTAAATGATCAGTCTCAGCCTGACAATCCAGTGATTGGCATCATGAGCATCAATGTTCAGTTTTGGCATACAGTGATACCATCAACCAAGTCAGAGAACCCGAAGTCATGATATGGCTGAAATATTGCCGATGTGACTTTAAATCTTAACTCACTCACTCACTCAGAGAACCCGACTGCCCAATCCTGTAAATGCTTCTTACAGCAAGTGTTTGATTGATTGTTGCTCAACGCCGCACTCAACAATATTCCAGCTATTATAATCAAGTCTGGACCAGACAATCCAGTGATCAACAGCATGAGTATCATTCTACGCAATTCTGATATGATGACATGTGTCGACCAAGTCAGCGAGCCTGACCACCCAATCCTGTTAGTCCACTCTTACAACAAGCATGGATTGCTGAAGACCAATTCTAACCTGGATCTTCACACGTTTCTTACAGCAAGAATGGATTGCTGAAGTTTAATTCTAACCTGGATCTTCACATAAATACAAAATAACAGATTTTCGTCTCATCCATCTTGGTACCCAAGAGCATGCCTCACCTGATGCTTCTGTCCCCAGTCAGTGTGGAGAAGTACCTGAAGGAAGCGAATCACTGTCCTTCCCCACTATGTACTTGATGAAATACACAATACACATAGCTTTACCAAGTATTCGTTCCTCATGTTAATTACATCTGTTGACAGTTAATATGCATACGTACTTTGGGCAGTTTTTTTTCTTCATTTTTTAAGAACCAACAGAATATGGAAAATACATTGCCTCCCACCTTATATTTTTCAAATAGGCTGAAAATGAAAGAATACATTTATTTTAGCCAATTCTTTAAAGAAATTTTGATTCTGTCTGAATATGCAAGGAACTCAATCTGATTTCACTTTGATAGGTTACAGAGCACATGGTACACATTGCTGAACACTGATTATGTAAGATGTAAGATTAGTCCCCTAAGTAGGTAGTTTGATAACTGGGAATTTATACTTATGAAATCAAATAATTTCAAGTATATGTTCTAATGATATGGGGATAGGTTTCAGACAGACCCCTTGACCTTGAGTATTGAAAATGGGACAAGTCAAGAGCTCAAGAAATTATTCTGTGATGTCATTAATATTTGTACATTTCTTTTCTTTTCCAGACCTTGATTCCTCTAATTAAAAGTCTGTAAATATATACTTGGCCAATGCACTTTTTCCCAGTTGTTTTGTGCTCAAAATACTTTTATTGCCTTAAGTGTTCTTCAGCAGTCAAGTTGTAACCCTTACTCAGTAAAGTCTAACACAACACATTTAAGGAAGAAGGATATTTTCATTTGAAACCTCTGATCAGTACACCATGGCCTTGACCCAGGGAGTGTTTTAGTTGGTGAATACTTGTTGTGTAGTGTTACAATAAGGTATACTACTGTAGCCTGTATATAACAGAATTTCAATCAACAAACCTGAAGCTGATAGCATGAGCATCAGTATGTGACAGACATAAGGAGGGATCCTCAGTAATCCAAGTTTGGAAAATATGCGAAATGTATAATTGCAGTAAGCAGTGAATATGTATATATATTTTAAGTTAGTTTGTCTCTTCTTAATTCCTCCCATTTTCTGTTGTGATATTGCTGGAATATTGCTAAAGGCAGCATAAAACCCAACTCACTCACTTACTCTATTATCTTTTCCAAAAATGGGTGATGTAATGGACACGTTTCATTAAATTTTTTAGAATCCAGGACCTGATTGGATACAACAATGAGAACCTGATTGGCAAATCTCTCTACAACTACCATCATGCACTAGACAGTGAAATTGTGGAGAAAGCTTTCAAAGATCGTAAGTACAAGAAGCAGAATTTTTAACCTTGTAGTTTCAAACTGAAACCTATATCATTTGAGTCTTGTATGTTAAATGTGGATTTCATGATTTCGTTTTATCTCACAGTGTTTGCCAAGGGACAAACTATGACTGGTCAGTATCGGTTCCTGGCCAAGAATGGAGGCTACGCCTGGGTCATCACACAGGGAACTATCATCTACAACAACCGCACACAGAAGCCCCAGTGGGTTGTGTGCGTCCACTATGTCCTCAGGTAAGGGTTAACCCCATTGGTTCGTCTCTGCCCACCATGTCCCCTGGTAAGGGATAACTCCTGTGAGTTATCTGCCCACTATCTCCTGATCAGTACTTCGCCAATACTTATGGCTTTCAATATTGTCGTAGATACCTATGACGTCAACTGTGAGATTGCAGAAAAACTAGCCCGTTCAGAGAGTCATTTTTACCAGTATGTTTTTTTCATTAAAAAGAACGGACTTACATGAAGTTCTTGGCACTAATATGATCATAAATCCCATGCTTTAATGAAGCTTACAATCATTATCGTAATGCTAAGAACACTTTGTTGAATGTGACCCCGCACAAGATCTTGTGAGAGTCACATGATTATTTGACAGACAGACTGATTTTATTGTGTTATGTCGGCCTATTTGACCATAATGCAGTTACATAATATAAGGTATAGATGGACACATGATTATTTGAACCCCCTTGTGTGTTCAGTGCCATTCAGGAGAAGAACATGATTTTGTCAGAAGTTCAGCAGCAAACAGCTGAGGACCTCTTGTCCTTCAAGATGGAGCAGAGCACGGACAAGATATTCGGACCCAGGACAAAGGACATGGAGCAGAACTACTTTGTTCCTGAGGAACTCAAGAACAACATAACCTGTAGGTTGCTCTACATGTTGTAGTGCAGATCAGAATTCAATCAGCAAAACAATACAAAAACGTTCAGGAATATTTAATAGTTAGAAATGAGATTTATTGACTGTATATATATATATATATATATATATATATATATATATATATGTGTGTGTGTGTATGGTGTGTGGTAACGTAGCCAAGTAGTTATGGCATTAATTCTTCATGCTGAAGATCTGGCTTTGATTCCCTACAGAGTGGTGGGGTAGCCTTGTGGTTAAAGCGGTTGCTCGTCATGCCAAAGATCTGGGTTTTATTCCCCACATGGGAAAATGTGTGTGAAGCCAGTTTCTGGTTTTCCCGCGTTATTCTGATGTTGCTTTAATATTTCTCAAAGCTGTAATGTAAATGCTGGGACTACATGCTATAAGTGTTGTATTACAGTGGTCAACAATGAGCCTGCTGATCTGTCCTACTTGGCCCCTACAGCTGGAGACGGCTGTGTCCAGCTCGGATACCCTGTCTACTCCCAGGGTGAGTAACTCTTGACTGGTTAGACTCCTCCTAGTCTCCACCTACCAACAGCCAACTGACTGGTTAGACTCCACCTAGTCTCCACCTACCAACAGCCAACTGACTGGTTAGACTCCACCTAGTCTCCACCTACCAACAACCAACTGACTGGTTAGACTCCACCTAGTCTCCACCTACCAACAACCAACTGATTGGTTAGACTCCTCCCACCAACATCCAACTGACTGGTTAGACTCCTCCCACCAACATCCAACTGACTGGTTAGACTCCACCTAGTCTCCACCTACCAACAACCAACTGACTGGTTAGACTCCACCTAGTCTCCACCTACCAACAACCAACTGACTGGTTAGACTCCTCCCACCAACATCCAACTGACTGGTTAGACTCCTCCCACCAACAGCCAGCTGACTGGTTAGACTCCTCCCACCAACATCCAACTGACTGGTTAGACTCCTCCCACCAACAGCCAGCTGACTGGTTAGACTCCTCCCACCAACAGCCAGCTGACTGGTTAGACTCCTCCCACCAACAGCCTGCTGACTGGTTAGACTCCTCTCACCAACAGTCAGCTGACTGGTTAGACTCCTCCCACCAACATCCAACTGACTGGTTAGATTCCTCCCACCAACAGTCAGCTGACTGGTTAGACTCCTCCCACCAACATCCAACTGACTGGTTAGATTCCTCCCACCAACAGCCTGCTGACTGGTTAGACTCCTCCAAACCAACAGCCTGCTGACTGGTTAGATTCCTCTCACCAACAGCCTGCTGACTGGTTAGACTCCTCCAAACCAACAGCCTGCTGACTGGTTAGACTCCTCCAAACCAACAGCCTGCTGACTGGTTAGACTCCTCCCACCAACATCCAACTGACTGGTTAGATTCCTCCCACCAACAGCCAGCTGACTGGTTAGACTCCTCCCACCAACAGCCTGCTGACTGGTTAGACTCCTCCAAACCAACAGCCTGCTGACTGGTTAGATTCCTCTCACCAACAGCCTGCTGACTGGTTAGACTCCTCCAAACCAACAGCCTGCTGACTGGTTAGACTCCTCCAAACCAACAGCCTGCTGACTGGTTAGACTCCTCCAAACCAACAGCCTGCTGACTGGTTAGACTCCTCCAAACCAACAGCCTGCTGACTGGTTAGACTCCTCTCACCAACAGCCTGCTGACTGGTTAGACTCCTCCCACCAACATCCAACTGACTGGTTAGACTCCTCCCACCAACAGCCTGCTGACTGGTTAGATTCCTCCCACCAACAGCCTGCTGACTGGTTAGACTCCTCCCACCAACAGCCAGCTGACTGGTTAGATTCCTCCCACCAACAGCCAGCTGACTGGTTAGACTCCTCCCACCAACAGCCAGCTGACTGGTTAGACTCCTCCCACCAACAGCCTGCTGACTGGTTAGACTCCTCCAAACCAACAGCCTGCTGACTGGTTAGATTCCTCTCACCAACAGCCTGCTGACTGGTTAGACTCCTCCAAACCAACATCCAACTGACTGGTTAGATTCCTCCCACCAACAGCCAGCTGACTGGTTAGACTCCTCCAAACCAACAGCCTGCTGACTGGTTAGATTCCTCCCACCAACAGCCAGCTGACTGGTTAGATTCCTCCCACCAACAGCCAGCTGACTGGTTAGACTCCTCCAAACCAACAGCCTGCTGACTGGTTAGATTCCTCCCACCAACAGCCTGCTGACTGGTTAGATTCCTCCAAACCAACAGCCTGCTGACTGGTTAGACTCCTCCCACCAACAGCCAGCTGACTGGTTAGATTCCTCCCACCAACAGCCTGCTGACTGGTTAGATTCCTCTCACCAACAGCCTGCTGACTGGTTAGACTCCTCCCACCAACAGCCTGCTGACTGGTTAGATTCCTCCCACCAACAGCCTGCTGACTGGTTAGATTCCTCCCACCAACAGCCAGCTGACTGGTTAGATTCCTCCCACCAACAGCCAGCTGACTGGTTAGATTCCTCTCACCAACAGCCTGCTGACTGGTTAGATTCCTCTCACCAACAGCCAGCTGACTGGTTAGATTCCTCCCACCAACAGCCAGCTGACTGGTTAGACTCCTCCAAACCAACAGCCTGCTGACTGGTTAGATTCCTCCCACCAACAGCCTGCTGACTGGTTAGATTCCTCCAACCAACAGCCAGCTGACTGGTTAGATTCCTCCCACCAACAGCCAGCTGACTGGTTAGACTCCTCCCACCAACAGCCTGCTGACTGGTTAGACTCCTCCAAACCAACAGCCTGCTGACTGGTTAGATTCCTCCAAACCAACAGCCTGCTGACTGGTTAGACTCATCCAAACCAACAGCCTGCTGACTGGTTAGACTCCTCCAAACCAACAGCCTGCTGACTGGTTAGACTCCTCCCACCAACAGCCAGCTGACTGGTTAGATTCCTCCCACCAACAGCCAGCTGACTGGTTAGACTCCTCCCACCAACAGCCTGCTGACTGGTTAGACTCCTCCAAACCAACAGCCTGCTGACTGGTTAGATTCCTCTCACCAACAGCCTGCTGACTGGTTAGACTCCTCCCACCAACATCCAACTGACTGGTTAGATTCCTCCCACCAACAGCCTGCTGACTGGTTAGACTCCTCCAAACCAACAGCCTGCTGACTGGTTAGACTCCTCCAAACCAACAGCCTGCTGACTGGTTAGATTCCTCCCACCAACAGCCTGCTGACTGGTTAGATTCCTCCCACCAACAGCCAGCTGACTGGTTAGATTCCTCCCACCAACAGCCTGCTGACTGGTTAGACTCCTCCCACCAACAGCCTGCTGACTGGTTAGACTCCTCCAAACCAACAGCCTGCTGACTGGTAAGATTCCTCCAAACCAACAGCCTGCTGACTGGTTAGACTCCTCCAAACCAACAGCCTGCTGACTGGTTAGACTCCTCCAAACCAACAGCCTGCTGACTGGTTAGACTCCTCCCACCAACAGCCAGCTGACTGGTTAGATTCCTCCCACCAACAGCCAGCTGACTGGTTAGACTCCTCCCACCAACAGCCTGCTGACTGGTTAGACTCCTCCAAACCAACAGCCTGCTGACTGGTTAGATTCCTCTCACCAACAGCCTGCTGACTGGTTAAACTCCTCCCACCAACATCCAACTGACTGGTTAGATTCCTCCCACCAACAGCCTGCTGACTGGTTAGACTCCTCCAAACCAACAGCCTGCTGACTGGTTAGACTCCTCCAAACCAACATCCAACTGACTGGTTAGATTCCTCCCACCAACAGCCAGCTGACTGGTTAGACTCCTCCCACCAACAGCCTGCTGACTGGTTAGACTCCTCCAAACCAACAGCCTGCTGACTGGTTAGATTCCTCTCACCAACAGCCTGCTGACTGGTTAGACTCCTCCAAACCAACAGCCTGCTGACTGGTTAGACTCCTCCAAACCAACAGCCTGCTGACTGGTTAGATTCCTCCCACCAACAGCCAGCTGACTGGTTAGACTCCTCCCACCAACAGCCAGCTGACTGGTTAGATTCCTCCAAACCAACAGCCTGCTGACTGGTTAGACTCCTCCAAACCAACAGCCTGCTGACTGGTTAGACTCCTCCCACCAACAGCCTGCTGACTGGTTAGACTCCTCCAAACCAACAGCCTGCTGACTGGTTAGACTCCTCCAAACCAACAGCCTGCTGACTGGTTAGACTCCTCCAAACCAACAGCCTGCTGACTGGTTAGACTCCTCCAAACCAACAGCCTGCTGACTGGTTAGACTCCTCTCACCAACAGCCTGCTGACTGGTTAGACTCCTCCCACCAACATCCAACTGACTGGTTAGACTCCTCCCACCAACAGCCTGCTGACTGGTTAGACTCCTCTCACCAACAGCCAGCTGACTGGTTAGACTCCTCCCACCAACAGCCAGCTGACTGGTTAGACTCCTCCAAACCAACAGCCAGCTGACTGGTTAGACTCCTCCCACCAACATCCAACTGACTGGTTAGACTCCTCCCACCAACAACCAGCTGACTGGTTAGACTCCTCCCAACAACCAGCTGACTGGTTAGACTCCTCCAAACCAACAGCCTGCTGACTGGTTAGACTCCTCCCACCAACATCCAACTGACTGGTTAGACACTTCCCAGACTCAACACCTCCCACCAACTCTTGCCACTAGCAGCAATCAGACTGGTTAATCTTCTTCCGCCCAGTCAGCTGACTGGTTAGACTTCTCCCAAAGTCCATCTCCTCGCTAAATGGTTAGATTCTATGCATGCTTTGAGTGTTTAAATATTCATTACTCTGTGATATAACAGTTAGCAGCAAGTTATTTGATGTTAACTGTTTATTTACAGTTGCTGATTTCGCATGCATGGATAAGGATTTGCCTCCTCCAATGTGTAAGGAGGAGCCTGATCCTGTACCCAGAGACGTTCACCGCAATCAGGAGTTCAACAGCAACAACCCCTCACCTGCATCACTGTCACCCAGGGTAAGTCTCTCACACCAGGGAAGTCTGCCTCTTTCTCTCACACACCTGGCCTGGATTTCTAGAAACAAACTGAAGTTTTTACTCAAATCTCAAACTGAGTTTCACAATTTGAAACAGCTGAAGTTTTAACTCAACTGCATTTTCAAAATATAAAAGCACAAACAACTTAAGTAATCTACCCACCAAACTCAAATTGTCTTCTATAGTTTGAGTTTAATACCAATTTCAGTTCATTCTGTGGAATGCATTTGTTTGTTTGTTTCGAGAAATCGGGGCCTGGTGTAAGTCTGCCAAGTCTCTCACACCAGGGAAGCCTGCCTCTCTCTTACACACACCTGGTTGAAGTCTGCCCTGGGAAATCAGCCTCTTTTTCAGTCAGGGCAAGTCCAGCTCTGTATGAACATTGTTTCAAGTACTGATGATAAGTGTAGCCCACTTTCTGATGTCCAGATTCAGAGCCCCGATGAGTACCAGACAATAGCCAGTCCCACTGACGTAGATCTAATGGACAAATTCTTCTCAACAATGGACACCACGCAGAAGGGAGGCTCTGACAGTGACATGGAGGTGAGTTACAGGATTGATAGCATGTGCTGTTAAATCCTTCTCTGCTACAAACAACATTGTGTTACATTGCTCTACTGCAGTCAGCAATTAGTTATCTTGCCTAACTGCAAGCGTCATTTTAGAATCTTGCTGCAAATCAAACAGCCAAGTGTTATCCAGAGTAAATATTTGTATTCTTCTTTGCACCTTACAGTGACTGTCAGATGTCGAGTGTATATTTAAATAGGACATAGCTGATTATCCTATCTAAGTTGAGGAGTATATTTACCCCTGACGTGACTGTTGTATGTAGGATGTCGACCTGAACATGAGAGCCCCATACATCCCGATGAATGCTGACGAGGACTTCAGTCTTGTGCCGCCCAGTACAGACTCGCTCTTCTCACTGCAGAACGACTTCAACCCAGGGTGAGTCACATTACTCAGTACTACTGTTGTAGAGCTGGTTGGACAGTGTCCAACATGATTTTGGACCAAGACAAATTCCTGTAATGAAATAAACGTTCAAGTAGATTACTATAAGAAGGGGAGTAACTCTTTGGGTTGCATTCAAACAACTCCCACTCTAACTGTTTTCTGTTTTCACTTTTCATAATTTTATCCTTCTGATGAGTCATAAAATATTCTTACGATTTATTTTTCTGTAAAATTTTATAACGACATATACGGAATGTTGATGGATTGTATGTTGTTTAACATAGGTGATGATACTTTTAAGTAATTAATCAACATGGTTTGTAGACTATTCGGTCGAACCGAGTCTGTGTTTATGGACAAGAATGCTTTCGAAATCCCTCGCCGCCCCATGCAACCAAGTGTTCGAGACATGATTGGAGGAAGTACAGTGGTCGCAAGCATAGAACAGCCACCTGACACCATGTTACTACAAGTCAAACGGCCTCTGGACATGAATAGCCTGGAAAAAGGGCCTCCTGTTGCGAAAGCAGTAAAACGGAATGATCCGAGGCCCTTGCTTGGAGGTGAGAGGAATGTCTGAAGGTTTTTAACATAAATATTAAAACAATTAAACTTTGCTCATTATATATGTAAGTACTTACGTTTGTATGAAGGGTCATTAGACACAAGATTATTCTCTGTAGAAGTAAATGATGGAAGTATGTCATTGATCACTCCGGGGATTTATCTAGGCCAACACAGAGGCCAATTTTTGAACAATAAGTCTGCTGCAATTGTCTGTAAAAAATCCCCAAATGACATTGCCTATTCGGGAGAAAAGTTTCCATTTTATTCAAACAGCAAAAACTAGCCTGATGATTTGGTCAGAGTGACTTTTGTTCCTCTAACAACAGAGCCAAAATGGAGAAAGAGGAATATCATAATTGATGTATTGAATGCGGTGTCAAAATAACTCTGAAAGCATTTTACAAATCCTCCATTTGAAAAAAGTAACTCTCGTATCCTAGAGGAATCCCTGTGATGTCAGTTCCATTAACTTAAGTTTACCAATTTTATACTGAAGGCTTTCATTTTGTTGTGAGTGAACATTGAAACCTGTTCCCCTGGAAGTCCCACCTGCTTCTAGGAGCATCTGAACCGTTGAAATTTCACTTTCATGACATCATTCCCATCAGTTGTTGATTGTGGTACTGGAAACGGTGCTATCGGGATGAGCAATGTTTCAATGTTAACTGACAAAATTAATTTTTATGGGGCATTAAGCCAATTTCAAGTTCAGTAAATTTACAGATGTAAATATTTTCATGCAATAGAATCCTTGCACATTATAGTGTTTGAGCACTGTAGTTTATGTAAGCAGCGTGGTGGAGTACATTGCATCATGTTCATTGTCCCGCATGTGTCAGTTCACTCACAAGGGACCAACCATTTGATATTAGGGCATTCAGATGGGCTGTTTGAATTTGGGGAGGGAATCCATATGGAAAATGTGCAGGTTTTCAGCTTCAGGTTCTAAATGAGATAATTTCAATTAAAACTGCGAGTCTAAATACATTTTTCTTAAAAACTCCTTGCAACTGTGTAATAGTTTTGTGGCAGACAGTTTCCCATTTCTTCAAGTCGGATGCATTATTATTTTTGCCTCCTTCCCATCAAGGAATTTCAAATGGTCGGTCATGAATTATATGTGCAACTTTGATATCCTGCGAAATGTATTTAACTGTGTTAAATTTGGACAGCATTTGTTTTGGAATATCAGATTCAATCTTTGATGATGGTTTTGTTTTTCAAGTTTGTATCTAATTATTTTTCTATTTTTTGTTGTAAAATTGAATATTTCCAAGTGAAGAAAGCAAAAAATAATTCGGTGCAATGTACACCTGGTCAAAGAGTTGGGACCAAGCTCATCTTTGCTTATATCCTCAACTTCCACATGTATTAGGGAACTTTCTCTGTTTGGCATCAATCCTGTTTTGATATCTGTTGCACTGCTGATACCTGCTGAAACATTACCAGAGCATGTTCTGTTCATCCAAGAGTCTAACCTTATGATGCAGAAGCTGAGAGAAACAGTTACAAGGGTAGACAAATATCTGTTGCCATGGAGCAGTGACAAATCATCTAATAATTGAGTTCTATTTCAATATGAAGATGTCACTTTGTATAGAAACCATATGGATTTCGCCAGAATATTCACACAGGGTAGAGTTTTACGAAATAGCAAATTAAGAATGCTGTAAAAGATAGCATTTGAATTGTATCTGGTAAGTGCCCCTGAATGTTGTTAGTTCCTTGTTGTTGTTCAACTCCAGCTCACTTGCTCTGTTGCATGTTGAATAACATTCATCTGACATGTAGAACACAGAGAAGTGTGGAGGAGTTTAAACCTCGTCTGAAACAGGCATGATGTATGTACGCACTACAAATGTTGAATGCTTGCATGACAATGTGTGAAATTGCATGATGAGTAAAACTTTTTTCATGATGTGTCTTGCAAATTATCTTGATCTTATATATTCTGATATGCTGTTGAATGATATTAACCTTTTTAACAGCCTTGGGAATGCCTGCTGCTATGATAACTTACTCTTGCGAATGTTGTTCCAAATGATAACATTGTTGAATGCCATCCATGTCATGTAACCATGGAAACGTAACGTTCGCTGACTTACCCTTGTCCTTTTGACATGTCCATATGTAAAACAATAACACTGATGAATGCCATCCCTGTCTGTTACCATGGAAACTTATATCTTTTTGACTGACCTTGACCCTTTTGATGCTGTGAATGATGTAATAATTAACACAAATGTATGCCATCCCTATCAGTAACCATGGAAACTTATAGCAAATTGGTTGACTAATCTTAAACCTTTTGACACATCGGAATGTTCTAAAACAATAACCTGGATAATTGCCATCACTGTCAGTAACCACAGAAACGCTTTTTTGGCTTTAGTATTTGGCATGCCAATAATCCCTGCATCTTCCAAAACTCACCATTCTGACAAGTGATGGTCGTCCTAGATTCTTGGAGGCTGTTTGTTCTTTCAGTCATGCCCACTCCAAGCAGGCAATTCCAAAGGCTGTTCCTGCCACCTCCCCCTATGAGGTCCATGATACCGGGCAAAAGCTGTCGCTTCAGCGTAAATCCATTTTGTCTTCCAGAAGGTTTGCCCAGCAAGGAAAGCGTATTACTTAATTTATTACTCACTGGTGAAGATCGTAACCATGGTTACAAAGTCAACTCATCTCTCCAACGAATGCATGGGGTAAGAATGGACTTGAAAATTTGAGACAGTCATATGGGTTAGGGTGAAAGATATTATTGTTTTTCCTTGTTTTTCAGGGCAGTGCTTCGAAGTGAAAGTTTTGTTTCCATTAAAATATTTCCTTCATTTTAATTTGCGATAAAGCCCGAAACATATTTCCTGTCACAAGGCTACTGAAATTTTCCAAAGCATGACATCAGTACTTATTGAAACTTTCAATGATGCGCCAGTGGCCGAAGTGGAAGCCAGTTGAGTGTCCTTTGTATGATTGTTGAAATACTATGCTGTGTCTACTGGTCCAACTCCTCCTGGAATATTGCCGATGTGATGTAAAATTTAACACACGCACTCACTCCACCGTAACAGGAAATAATTAAAGGGCAAGCGTAATGAAAATATTTATCGCAATTATTTGTGAATACATTTATCATTTTGCTAGATACATAAAGTCAATTTCCAAGAAAGGAATTTTACGTTTGTTGAATGTAGTTAAAATACTTTTAAGTGAAAATAATTATATTAAACACATTAATGTTACGGTGAAGGAGTTACAATCACCTTACAAGATCACTATGTACAACGGCACTCTGATAGTTAAAATTACACAGTGTGACAAATACTGTTACACCCTTAACACTGCAGGGGCAGGTTAACAAGGATACAACTCGGTATGACTCTGTAGTTACTGTACTTTAAACTTATTATGTAAAGTCATATTTGGTGGTCGCGCAATTTGGAACCAGAAGTGGTTCTTGAATATACGCTTGTCACCAGAAATCTGGTACCGGAAGTAAGCTGGTCTCCATCTCACAAATCGCAAGTTCGCGCATGCAAAGGGAGTCGGGAACCAGCTTAGTACCGGAAGTAGCGCCTCGCGAGAGTTACAGGCCCTATAGAATTGTGCAGCACATGGCCAACTGAAAAACGATCACTGGATCAGACTTTACAAGTCTGACAAGCAAGAAACCTTTCTCATTTTGTTGTCAAAGGCCTCTGTGACATGAAGTAAGCATGGCTGGTGTGTTAATCTTGGTATTTCAACCTGTCTGGTTGCCAGAATCCTCTACTTGGGGTATATGTCTGAGATCTTCATTGCTTTTTGTCCACATATTGTGCTTATTAATAATTTGCAATATACCTTAAATACAGTTCAAAGTGGTGTTAAAACCCAGCTCACTAATTTATTTAGAAACTACTTTTTTCAGCATTGAATGTATTCATTCATTGGCTGTACAGATACAAATGTATGTTCATGATGGTGGAGACTTGGTGTCACCGTGACCTTGAGCAGGATAGTAGTTATACAAAGTGTCATATCAGCGTAATCTTGGAATAAAGGTTACAGTCTGGTATGTTTAAGAACATGGGTATCATGACCACAAACCAGGAAATGTAACAATTAGCCCTGGGATTCACACATTTCTTGTACCATATACAGCTATGTTGATGTTCTTATTTCAGTTGAAACATAATTTGTTCACGGATTTGACTCGCCAAGACTGTGAAGTAAACGCTCCGACGCAATCTCATCATCTCCTTCAAGGCGAGGATCTGCGATCCGCCCTCGATGCAGACTGTCGGCTCAACAAGCGTAACATGACTGCCGCCATGTAGCCAACCCGGAACCTCGAGGAGGAGGAACACGTCAAAGGCGTGGGGAAGCAACTTGCCACCAATTGTGCAGCTACTGGATAGCACTGATCTGCACGCTTGTAGGATAGTACAATAGGCTGCCCCCGGCAGACATCTTGGATAAATGAGATTTGAATATCTTCCCTAGCCAGTGTAAACAAGCACTAATATTGGTTTACTTATTCTTGATTGTTTCCCGTGTAACCATGTCATGTGTTTTATTGGTATTTTGCTGCGGACACTTTTGCTATATTGGAAAGTGTTCTTGTTCAGTGGACTGCAGAGTGAATTTGTTTCAACAAGAGGTTTAATCTCTTGATGTTCTCTTTAGCTTCAAAGAATCATTATTTTGCTTTCATTATGACCATGGATGCTTTAATTCTGCACAAAGTAGTCTTTTGTCATGTTTTTGCATCAGCGACAGTTGATGTGAGAGAGGTGAAGAGGAATTCTTTTCCAGCTCACTTGGACAAAAGGTCAGTGGACATGGTCCATCCATCATCAGTCATCCATAACCTTTTTATATTTCATTTTATTTCCAAGACAGCTTTATTCAACAGATGAAATTTGTTTTGAATGGGGAAAACAAATCAAAATATAAAAATGAATTATTGTATTCATTTTGTAAAATTGTCTTCTGCATCTTGACATAGCAAGTTCGAAATCAATAAGGGATGAAGTTAAAGGGGGTAGTACAATTTATTAAATCTATAATGAAGCTGAAATTTGGAAATATTCAGACTGACGAAGGATTTACCTACCTTGTTATGTGTTTTATTTAATGTGCACAGTTTTATTTGTAGACAATAGCAACAGCCTTTGAAATTCATGCTGGTCTGCTAGCCTGAGACTACTAAATCAATTGACATGTAAACTTTCAATGATGGTAGTCCGCAATGATTCTCATTATTATTGAGTGCTAAGGTTATGAACCAGTGTCAGTAATCAAAGATATTAGACCTTTTTGTCTCAGTCTAGCACCCATTAACTCAATTTTGTCCAGACTAGTCTTAGAAAACAACAATTTCCTTGGGCTGACTGACATTTGATTGTTTCTTCAGATAGAATGCTTTTTCAAGGCCGACCTGGGCCTTGTTCCACAAAGTGATTCTGTCATAAGTCTGTGTTCAGTAGACTGAACTGCAGGAACATCTTCCCATCTGGGTCAACCCAAGCCCCACACAGGGAGTCAAGAACTATGACTTCATTGGAAGAATGTGATCCCCTTAACTCTCTCATCACTTTATGGAGCAGGGACCAGTATTGTTGGTCTGGATATGATGTATAGAGCATGTTGATGTGCTTTATAAAGAATCTTAATCACTGTATTTGACCACCATTGTGCCATTCTGTGTCTGGTTTGGCACTTTCATGTCAAACAGACATTATCATGTTGTTATCTGTTGTATTATGAAATATATATTAATATTATACCGTAAAATGTCCAAAAAAAAGAGAATGATTTGTAGTACAGAATGTGGTATATCTTAGAGCGTAGTGGGACCAAGCTCACTGCCAGCATTACCATGGTAACAAAATATGATTAATATGCCTGAATTTCACCCAATCAAAAATGAAGTATTGGCAGTTGATACTCAGCTGGAATATGATTTCATGGACTCAGCTGGTATATAATTTCATGGAAACAGCACAAAAATGACAAAACTGTTCTTCCTGTGCAGTAGTTGAATTCTCATATACTTAACTTTGCCATGATCTAGTCTCATCTCATCTCACAGTACGTTGGCGTTGCTGTAAAACAATTGTTGCTATGTTCAGTAGTTTCTGCTATGAAGAATGTAGCTGAGTGTATTGGACACAGATTACACTGAATTTCATCCCTTGGCTCTCATATTGGCAATATTGTTCTGAAGATCATGCTGCAGAATTGTAAAATTTGTACTGTTTTTAATGTCTTGAAAATTCATGTTTTGATGGCGTTGATATGGGAGGGAGGAGTATTTTTTATTGGATTTGGTTTGATTTGTTAGAATTGGACTATATATACAAACTAGATTTCTTACGATTGGTTTCATTTTGGTCATGTTTAGAACGTTTTTGAAATCACTCTCTCAACAGAGAGCGTCACTCATACCTGCATATTTTTAATATTCTCCCATATTTTTCAGATGCATTTTGTTACAAATATTTGACACAGTGTGTTATTAATGGTATTACTATGATAGAAATAAAGTCATCTTTATTCCAGTGTTGTACTGTTGTTATGCAGGAGTACCATGATGCTTGGAGACACCTTTGTTGGCAAAGAAACCTTTCAAAATTTCCCACTAGACTACAGGACCAGTGAGTGGACAATAATTGGTGGACCTGTCTGTACTTCAGGGGTCCAAAATAACATTTGTAGATTTGCTTTACTATCAATACACAATTCAGTGGCTACCAGAACCACTGCAAATTTAGTGGTCCTGTTGAATCTTTACTAGTCAGGGAGCACAGGACCAGCGTAGATTTGAGACACCACTTTCAGACACCACTAAACGGACACACCTGTTTGACATAGCCCAAAGCGACACATCTGGAAGATACACCCCTTACACACCTGTAGAATGCGTTCTTCCCCTCACTCACTGACAGAATAAATGTTGATACATGTGTAAATATTATGAGATGGAGGCATGTCAATACTCCTATCTGAAGACCCTACAGTGGCACTTCAAACATACAGATACCAGCAACTATATTGTATGGTTTTATTCTATCGATATTTTAACCCATTCATACGGAAGTCGAAATAGTTACCTTTTACAGGCGCTTCAAACAACTACTTCGCGTATCGGTAGTCAACAGAAACACAATCATGAAACAGCTTCAGAAGGTGACAACAAACATGTCAATATATACTATAATGGGAGCGTAATCATTGCAATATATTGTCAGAGTCGTACAGTCCAGGGCCTAGATTTTCGAAGCTCTCTTAGCGCTAAGATAGTCGTAAGTTAATGTTAATGTATGACACTTATTACGACTATCTTAGCGCTAAGAGAGCTTCGAAAATCTAGGCCTAGATCCATAGCGCTACGACAGTCGTAGGTGTGTATGATAAAGTATGGGAGTTACGATCATCTTGGCGCTACGACAGTCGTAAGTGTATGTTAAAGTATGGGAGTTACGATCATCTTAGCGCTACGACAGTCGTAAGTGTGTGTTAAAGTATGGGAGTTACGATCATCTTAGCGCTAAGACTGTCGTAAGTCTATGTTAAAGTATGGGAGTTACGATCATCTTAGCGCTACGACAGTCGTAAGTGTATGTTAAAGTATGGGAGTTACGATCATCTTAGCGCTACGACAGTCGTAAGTGTATGTTAAAGTATGGGAGTTACGATCACCTTCGCGCTACGACTGTCGTAAGTGTATGTTAAAGTATGGGAGTTACGATCACCTTAGCGCTACGAACGCTTTGTGGAACGGGGACCAAGTCATTAAAACCAACTTAGCAAAGTTACGAACACCAGAAAGAAACCCTTGACTGATGAGATGCGAGAAGGACAAATGCGTTTCACTGATAACTTGTAGTTGGTATCAATGTCTTTTGGCCTGACACACCCGGGGATCCATCCCCATACCCGGACAGCCCCAATGTCCGCCACACCACGAGGACGGTCGCAATAGGTTCATATGGAAATTGATTAAACAACACCTGATTCATCGACCTATAATTCTGTGAATTAAGAAAGCAGAGCATTTTCTGAATGATTTACGTGTATTAACATTTTGCATCATAATGTATTGCATTATTTTTGGTGGAGATATTCAATGCACCTGCAAGGGCGCGCAATGCACGTGAAATTTCATAGCCCAACATGGTTGATACCATGTCAGACTCTCTCCTTTCAATTTGGGACAGCCTCCGTGGTGTAGTACTAGTGGTTAGAGCGTCCCCGTTCGATCCCCGACCGCGTCATACCAAAAGACGTTTAAATATGGTACTTGTTGGTCCCTGCCCGGCGCTCGGCATTAATGGGTACATCAAGGACTGGTCGGCTCGGAGTCAGTATAATGTGTCTGAGTGGTGTATTCTTGCTTCACTGCGGCATGGTATCTCAGTGGGCTAGCACTATAAAACCAGTTTAAGTCTTGGCTAGTACAAGCAGGTGCACATACACATACACACACATGCACGTCGTGATATGAGCGAAATATTCTCATGCACGGCGTTAAACCCAATTTCACCCAAAGTCGGTATGTGACCTTGCAAGACATTATTCTTCAGTTCCGTGAAGAAAATGTATGCTTGGTACGGACAGTTAAGTCTGTGCAAGAAAAGTGAAATTCGTATGTTTTTGCATGAAATGATGTCATTTTCCAAACCTGTTCCATCTTCAAATAAACCAGATTATGTCATGGTAATCTTGGCTATGTTTCTCTTCAACCCTTTCTTTTCACTACAAAATTCTTATGGTATGGAAATTTTTGACACATTTATGCACCAGTACATTAAAGTTGCACAATCTGAGAAAATACGGAGGTTTCTTAATTAATTTCCATATGAATAAATTTATTCGTGTTTGTTGTGAGGACAGAATCCTCTTTCCTCCAGTGAAACGTTTCACTGATTTAATTGCTCTTTTGTTTTAGTTCTGCCGCCATCTTGTATTCTCCCAGCCAGAGACGGGTGTCTGTCATTGGTAATACCTCTGCAAGAGTTGAGTGCTCATGTACCGAAACACCAACGTAAATATTGACTGATTGATAACAGTTTGAAAGGCTATTGTTTCTGTGCATACTCCACGAAAAGTAGGTCACAACGGAGGCGGGTCATAGTTTCATTTGACACAACATCCATAGTAGCAAGTACAGTAGTTGGCCATAAGTGAGTCATCATTAGTGAAATTCCCATAGACTTGCATGTTAATAAACTCTTGGAAGAATATTTTCATAAATGTAGTTTCGGTCGAATTGCTTTCAATACTTATCTACCAGCTGGGAAATAATCTTGGCTACATACACATAATTTCCATTCAATTTTCCGATGACTATTAAGAAAACTGCAACTATTTAAACAGCATATATTAGACATACCAAACAGGTTCAACATGGCTGTCTATGGGATAGATTAAAAGTAACTGTTGTACTTATATGTGGTGCTTAATCAGGTGTCATTCGATAACTAATCAACGGAAAGATGAAAGAAAATTATGTACACGTAGCTGAAGATGATTTCCAAGATTTTTACAAAATATCAAAATAAAATGACTTCTACTCAATTTATGAAAATAATTCTTGCAAGAGTTAATTAACATGTAAGTCTATGGAAATCTTAATAATGATGACTCACTTATGGCCAACTACTGTAGTATGTGTAATGGGCGTGGTTGGCCATATCGTCTAAGGGACCGTTCATAATTTATGGCTAGGGGGGGGGTGATGATGATTGTTATGGAGAAGCATGTACAATGTGAATGACCCCCCCCCAACATTTATGTACAAAGTAAGTGCCCCCCCCTGCATGTCATGTACAAAATCAATGGCCCCCCTCCCCCTTTCCATATTTTTAAAGCATATTTTAAAAAGATTTTTATGTACAAAATTGCTGACCCCTAAGGAAACTTGTGTACAAAATTACTGACCCCCACCTCCCCAGAACAAAATGGGTACACACCCCCCTTTTAAAATCATCACTCACTCACACACACACACACACCTTTTAGCCATAAACTTATGAAGTTGTGAATAGGTACGTCAAAATGGCAACGGTCTGAGACCGTCTTCACTTCTGGCTATCCTCCCCCCATAAAGCTGACACGCCGTGGTATAATTGGGAAAGTGTTCGAACCAATTTTCTCACTCAAACAACAGAAACCAAGCCAGGCCGAGTTTAGTACGGACAGTCCGGTGAGTGTTATTGTGAAAAACAATCAGGGGATCCAGTATATACCATCAATCACATGTTGGAATATACAGCGCAAACCCTCGACTCGCGAGACGAGAGATCCTTCGACGTGTACAGATGTACAAAGAGATTGGTCAACAGGGAAGGTTACATCCAGACACCTTGCTTGTCATCCTCCGTATCTTCAGTCCTCGCATGTCGGGAAACAGCCACTAACAGGAAGGTCGACCGACATGCAAGTCCTGGCGATGCCTGCTTGTGGTCCCTCGTGGTGTCCAGCTTTTCCTCCAAAATATATATGGGGATTGGGTTATCATATGTCAAAGGCCTCTTCTATGATTTGTCGTCTAATTTGTTGTACAGAGTTGTCTCCCTTGGGTTTGCCAGGAAGCTATGTCCGTGGGTTCGGATTCCTGTACCTATCAGCCTGAAACCGTGTTTCACCAAAGTTATAAACGTCTTGGACCTGCATCGGGCGGTGGGGTAGCGTAGTGGTTAAAGCGTTCGCTCGTCACGCCAAAGACCCGGGTTTTATTCCCCTCATGGGTACAATGTGTGAAGCCCATTTCTTGTGTCCCCTGCCACGATATTGCTGGAATATTGCTAAAAGCGGCGTAAAACTAAACTCACTCACTCACTCCACATCAAGATGTGCTCAGCATGATAAAACAATAGTAGCCTAATGTTGAAAGCGACGTTAAACCAAACACCCTATCATCATTTTAAACCTGATTCTATTTAGACATCACCGCCATGTTTCTACGGGGGCACACAATGGATGCCTTTAACACCGTACACCACATAGGGAAAGCGAACCCGTCTCTGCGGTATGACGAGCGGACGCTTTAACCACTAGGCTACCCGACCGCTTTTCAAGTTATAGAGTAGGCCTACAATCTGTTTTTTCATGTATTTCATTATTTAGTTTAATTTATTTTAGTACCCAATTCAAACCTCATCGTGTTGCAAATATGAACATATTAAACCTCATAATGCAGTATCAATGATGTATTAATAGATTTTATCATAACTTTCCCAGATAAAACAAAACAACCAGGGCAACTCACACACATGTATTTATAGATATCCGCCATCGAATACTCTACACATGCTATATGATACACAATTTACATTAAATATATATAGCCTTATTTTATAGCCTTATCTGTACTATCTGACAAATGGTTCCACGCGTGCGTTAAATTGGGCGCTTATCCGCCCATATAACCCGGGTAGAGACGCTATGCTAGCACCGGGTACATAGAGGGCGTCCCGAACCACCTCCAATATGGCTACCACTCTCTACCTAGCAACTGTACACATAACGCGTGCTCGCGCGACAATGTCGCTCGTTCGTCACTGACTGTCAATAGGAAATATCGTTGGACTGGCTGTGAAATGGCGGAACTTGACTGTTGAGAGTGATGTTTGAGTGGATTTAGGAGTACTGTCCCTGTCGCAATATGAAAGGTAGGTGACTGTGGTTTTCTACATCAGGTTGAGATTATTGTTATACAAACTATTATCAATATTTCAGAGGCGGGTTGTTCTAGGTGGACGGTCTTACAAACTGTCGCGATGATCGGTGGTATGTGAAGCTAAAGCGATAGCAATCACAACTTAAGATTTTATGACTCTCTAATGAACGGAGAATATTTATTACCACTTTCACCCGAGGGGTCACTTACAAAGCTTGCCACAGAGTCACTTACAGAGCTTGCAACTATACACTCCGACCAGCTGACGGGCTCTCGCACGTTATATTGACATATTCTGATATTACATGAGTCTTCGTGATTTAAATGAGGAATGTCAGCCAATGTTGAGAATTTATTTTCTTCAAACTCATCCTTAAACGGTTTCGAAACACTGATATTAATATTATTTTTTATAAGAGTTACATCCAGGTGAATAAGTAAACTATGTAATTAAATCCTTACCCAAATATTGTATTACCATCTTACCTTGTTGCCAAACACTTAATGCATGAGAGCACGTGACTTGACAACAATGAACCAACTGACTCGATTGTTATTGAAATGGTTATTGCCATGTTAAGCAAAATGATCGTATTTTAATTTGAAATATGTTTACGCGTAAACATTGACACCTCAGCGCTATAATGAGGTTGTTTGGATAGTTGTATACCTTGTGAAAAACCCCGGAACGTTATGCAAAAATAATTCAACATGAACTGTCAGATTTCAATTTAACGACTTAAAAAAATAGAGTGACACTATTTCTAGATCTATACCTGTGATTGAAACCAGTGCATGGTCACGCTTAGAGATGATATAATTCTGGATTAGCGCTTATACGACTTTTCTAAAGCCCCTACGTCAAACAGGGTTTGGCTCAATAGGATTACTCTCCGCTTGCTGTGAAGGTGAGAGTTGTGTGACCGTTTTAATACCAGGTTTTAGTGTTGCGATATACCACGATACACTACGTGAACGTGACCCTTACACTTCCTGGATAAACATGCTTCTTACATGTGGCGGGGCGGCTGGGTAGTACAGTTGCTAAAGTGTTCGCCTGTCACGCCGAAGGGGGTTCAACTCCAAATATTGGTACAATGTGTGGAGCCCATCTATGGTGTCCTCCACTGTGATGTTGCAGGAATATTACTAAAAGCGGCGTAAAACCTTACTCACTGCATGTGGCAATTGGACCAATTAAATCACTGTAGTTAGGTAAACCTGTTATCTGCTCGGAGGGGAAGTGACTTGATTCAGTTGTGGCAACGTAAATTATGTCAGGATGCAAATGGAGTCATGGGTGCGCTGTGCAGAGTTGCGCCCCTTCTGACGCATCCGAAACTTGTGATAGTGGTTCGAATCCAGGTTGACCCAGAATTTGTTTCCAGGTTGCCATGTCAGTTCCCGTGCACGGTTTACCAACGTGATAAACGTCTGAGATCTGCATCTCTTCGAACTTTCCTCGCACATCAGGGGCGGTGGGGTAGCCTAGTTGTTAAAGCGTTCTCGGTCACACTGAAGACCCGGGTTCGATTCCCCACATGGGTACAGTGTGTGAAGCCCATTTCTGGTGTGTCCCGTCGTGATATTGCTAAAAGCGGCGTAAAACCAAACTCACTTTCTCCTCACACATCAACGTGACATAACTGACCCAGCTGACTTACCCCTAGAACCCTGGAGAGGACCTAAGAACCTTGGGTGATTGTGAGTTAGACTCTTTATCCCATCTCCGAATATCTACAATACTGCTGATGCGGCGTCAAACAATCTCTCTCTCTCTCTCTCTCTCTCTCTCTCTCTCTCTCTCTCTCTCTCTCTCTCTCTCTCTCTCATGCTCACAAACAATCATAGCTGTCATGTCTACATTTCTTTGGTGAGTCTAGGTTTCTTTATTTCTGAAAAGGATGGCGGTTCTTGGCGAATTTTGATATTATATACAAAAGACAATTCTTACTATTCCCTTAACTCAGTCTAGGCCTCCATACTGGAAGTGATCTTTGTGCTGCAATATTCGTATAACACAAGGACTAACATACTGTATATATAACCAAGGTGTGAAATCAATAATCCGAGCCTTGTGAAGGTTATTTAGATCTACACAGTATGGTAAAATCTCAAAATGAATTTCAGCCATTGTTTTCGGCGCGATACACCATGAGGTAAATATTACCGCTTTCAAATTTTTTTCTATGTCCTTTTCAGATATTAATTTTGGTTTTTCGTTTCGTTTGCCAGACACTTTTGTTAGGGTTGTAATTAATTTCAATGCAATAATCGGTTCATCACTTATTCCATCTTTTTAATCTTTATTTTCTATAAGTTGTCAAGCCAAAGAAAGCATATACCAGTGTTTGGTGGTAACCACAAGTCAAACAAACCAGAAACTGCTGGCCAATTGTGATATACTGCATACGAGTATCACGGTTGTGGTTTGAACCTTAAGTTTGCATTTTATCGGCGTCTCTTTTCAGGCTAGAAAATTTTCACGTGCTTACATTCTTTTGTTATACAATTTAAACATATCAAATGAGTAATTTGTTAGAAAAAGGAATGACGTCGGATGTGACAAGTAAGAGCTGTACGCTGTATATGAGCACTGAGTCGGTTTGTTTATATTTTTTACTGTGTTGTCCGTCTGTCGTCGGGGGTAATAAATGACACGGGTACCTTTGTCCGGTCCTGCAGCGTTATAGCGAGGGTTCAGTAGATGTCAAGCTCAGGGGCGGTGGGGTAGCCTAGTGGTTAAAGTGTATGCTCGTCACGCATAAACCCCGGGTTCGATTCATCACATGGGTCCACTGTGTAAAGCCCATTCCTGGTGTCCCCTGCGGTGATATTGCTAGAATATTGTTAAACTCAACCACTTGATCAAGCCTTCGATGGTAAAACCTGGATGGAACAGCCTAGTTGTTATCAAAATGCGTCTTTCTGTGGCATTTGAATACAATGCACATGATCCAATGATAAAAGTAGATCATATAAGCTGGAGCTGTCGGTATATGCTCGACAACAAGAGGAAATCCACGATTCTTAAATGGATGTCATACAGTTTATTACACAGCTTGCCGCCATTTATATTAATGTGTACAGATACAGATAAGAGTGAGTGAGTGAGTTTAGCTTTACGCCGCACTCATCACCTCTTCCACCCACTTCAGCCTTGAACCAGTGTATGAAATAAGCCAAAAACCCAGCCAGACATCTGGGCTGGTAACTTCAAAAACTTACCAGCCCAGAAGAGATTTAACCAGTCCTTCTTAAATACTAGACCCGTGAAGATCCGGGGTAGAATAGGTCTTCAGCAACCAATGCTTGCCACAAAAGGCGACTATGCTTGTCGTAAGAGGCGACTAACAGGATCGGGTGGTCAGGCTCGCTGACTTGGTTGACACATGTCATCGGTTCCCAATTGCGCAGATCGATGCTCATGCTGCTGATCACTGGATTGTCTGGTCCAAACTCGATTATTTACAGACCGCCGCCATATAGCTGGAATATTGCTGAGTGCGGCGTAAAACTAAACTCACTCACTCTTAAATACTAAATAGACAGTGCCAGTGGACACGTTATCTGAATATTTTTTTCACCCGTCCATCGGGCTGGCTAGCTTTCAAATTAGACCGTCCGGCAGAAATATGTCGGACGGGCCTTATTTCATACACTGCTTGAACATTCCGTGTTAGAACCGATCTCCAGCGATCTATGCTTGTAAGTAACGACTCGATACATCCGATGTCCAACGTCTGTGAGTTGGCTGTCGTACGCCTACGGATTGTGACGTAGCTGATGGTACCAATAGTTGACGGTACTTGATTATTTACAGACTGTCCCCACAGAGGTGAGTGCGGACAATAAACAACATTGCAGATAATCCATTCTTTTCGTACTGGCTCTCGTGTGTTGCCGAGCGTCTACTCCTGTACCTGTACAAGAATACCCACGTGACCAGAGAAGCACCGTGTGTCAGCAGTCTGATGAGTGATTGATCTCTGTCCCCCACTCCCCATGTGATCGTAGATCTTAGGTGACCCCGCGTTATCCATCACTGTCTGTAGATCCCGTCCTAATCCAGATCACGTTTTCCCTCTTCACCGTTGTCGTCGTTGCAGGGGTGGTGCGAGAACCACCACGAGGGTGAGAAGGGGTACTCTTGGGGTGGTAGTACATAGGATTGCTCTTCTGCATGGTTACCTGCGGGCATGGGTGGCGTCGAATTCGCTGTCTGGAGTTGGGTTCCTTAATAGACGTGCCGGAATACCATCATGGCTTGGAGCTTGAACGCCGAAGATGAAATAACAGAATTATTCTTCAAAACGACACGAAGCCAAACTAATTCACGCAAGCTGTAGGACTGTGTGAATACGCCTGGTTTAACACCATATTGTACAATAAACAACACCTGGAATTTGCTGCACACGATTGAATTCATATTGGGAATCGAACCGGGGTCTTCGGCAAAGTTCCAGGTGTGAGATCGCATTAGTAATTAGTGTCTGTAGGAACATGTTGCCACGAAAAGCAAACGGTCACTCCAATAATCGCACATGACAAGTGACCATTTTTTTGGCACGGGCGGGACTGTGGACTATGAACGGCATTACATATGGTTCATAGGGCTAACGTTAAGTGGATCTGGTCAGCAGCCGTGACAGCCTACCATCAGAAACACGGCTTATTCACGGGTATTAAGGCTTTCGTCAGATGAAACAGCTTGAGCCAGTCCTTCAGATCACAGACAAGGGTTGCCTTACATTGTTCAGTTCCAGTCACCTCTGTGAACAGATTACACACAGTCACATAGGAGTAAATGATATGTTCGGAGCGTGTCGACCTACAATATTTAATGGTGTTTATGAATGTGACGATTGAATTATAAGGCTCTATATATAGTATTGATAAATACCATCGCTTGGTTAAAGGAATCTCGCTTTAGGTTGCCATGGAAGACTTACATTTTACATTTGTTGGTTTACGATCTGCCGAACTAATCTT